GCTCAGCACACTAGCCTTGCCTTGGAACACGTTTCATGAGCAGTGTCATGAGCTCCAACAGGCAAAACAGGTACATGAGCAGCCTCTGTGGAAAGCAGGAGCCCAAGGCCATCACCGCCCTTCTCCAGCCATCTCCCTAGCCCAGAGGTAGCCCCAGAGGGCTTGGGGACCCCAGGTAGTGATCTAGCTCTCCAGGAAGGGTAGAGCTAGAGGGACCTGGGGTATGCGATATACAAGTTCTCAGCCCCCACACCCCACAGTCGGCCCCAGCCGGCCCTCCAGCATGGTCCCCTGGCCCCCTAGCACGGTCCCCCTGGCCCCAAGCACGGCCCCAGGCATTGGTCGGTGTGCATCTGACCCAGACCACAGAGGATTTAGTCACAAGTGGGACATCCCTGAATTCTCTCCACCCTGACCACTAGCCCACCTTACCTCTGGTCCCCATTAGCCTTTTGATCAAAGCGACCAATGGCCCTAGTGAGAAAGGGGGCTGGCACCCCGGATGAGGCCACAAACACGGACCACGGGTGACAGGGGAAAAGGCTTTGCCTGGAGCTTGACCCAACGCCTATCTTGCTTCTCACAGAAGGGATAAATATTTACATCCATGGCCTGAAAATCAGTCGGCCCAAGGGAGGCCCAGGGGGCAGAAGGCCCAGCTAATTAGTAAGCATTCTCTTGAAATACGGAGCAGAATCCTGAGGTCAGAACCCCAGCTCTGTCCAGAACCCCCAGACCAGCTTTTATCGACTTGGCAGGAAGTAACAGAGTTAATTAACAGGGATGATGGCAGCAGCTCTAACTTCTCCCAGCAAAGCCACCAAAAGTCCCAGACCCCGGACGCAATGGTGAGATACCCCCGCAGGCTCTGAGAAAGTCCCCTTGCTAAGAAGGCTCCAGGACAAGTACCTTTTACAGTAGTGTCAGGACCAAAGTAAGAAGTCACTTCCTCTGGTTCCAAAGCCTGGAGAAATTGCTGCAAGACGCAAGGACAAGTGAGGAGACACGAGGAAGGGGGAGAAGGGAGCTGGGAGAGGAGCGAGGAGCAGGGGGGGAGCTACAGACAGAGCAGGAGAGGGAGAGAAAGGACGGAGGATGAAGAGGCAGAGAGGAGCCACTCACACCACACGGGTTAGACCGCGTCTGCGCCTCACAAAGGAGCGGACGGTTCGGGGAAGCCAATTCGTCCTTCAGTGAGCACCCTTCATCCCCTGAACCCCAGCTCAGACTCCCCGGCCCACTGCAAACCCCAAAGCCCAAAGAACACCCCTACTCTGCCCAAAGGCTCTTTGGCACCCTCTCTCTTCACAGGGAACCCACCTTCAGCACCCAGAAGAGCTCAGATTCCCACCCCAGGTCCCCCACCTGCTGGAAATCAGAGAGTCCCCAGCAGCCCAGGAGAAGGAAGGCAGAAGTGAGGATTCCCTGCACGCATCTTCCCCAGAGCTGAAGTTCGCTCATCCTCAGGGAAGCCAGAGAGCTGTGGTGACTGGAAATCTAGTCCTTGCGGAATGTGACAGACCCCGCTGGCTGGGCAGGCGGGAGGATCAGGCTGTGTTTACTCTTGATAGCTTCCTCCCAGAGCAGGGCCATGGGGGTGGGTGGCCTGCAGTCTCCTCCTGCTGCAACCTGGGTCTTGCACTGGGTTGGTCCTTGGTTCAGAGCACCCCCACCGGATCCTGCACCCTGCGATGGGGCTGGGCCGGGCAGCCCCGTCTGGAGGAGGGAGCCCCAGATCAGGGATCTGGAGCTGCAGATTCATGCAGAATGCTGTGACCGCGTGGGCTGGCTCTCCCCTGACCAGGGAGAGGCTGTACCAAAGGCACCACCGTTCAGGCCTCGGACAACCTGCTGTCCTCCACTGACATCCCTGTTTTCCATAATCAGTCCCCACTCTCCTGTCCTCATTCCCCTCCCCACCCAGCGCAGACTCCAGACCCTGGTATCCTCACTCCCTGGCGCATGCTCCTCTGCCTCATTCCCTCCCACTCAGCTAGCGCTGTTCTGTGCCTGCACCTGAGGGACAGTCACAGAGCCAGGTTGGTGGCACCACACTGCACTCAGCATCACAGACCACCTGGCAGTCCACTCCACTTCCTGGAAGGGCCTCAGTCACACTCTCCAAAGCACTATTTTCCACTCCCTCACAGCTCCTGGACGCCTCCCCCCAACTCAGCTGATGGCTGGCAGGGGGATGGCCGTTGGTTCCCCACCAGCCCCCTTCACATCCTCTGTCATCAGGGAGGACACACCTATCCATCCATTCTGGGCCAATCCATTTTCCCAGCCCAGGTGTCAGAGCTGCATTGATTCTGAGGTCTCGGCCATCCTGCGATTCCCCCTTTTTCCTTCACAGGCATTCCACCCAGTGAAGGGTGTGCTCTCCTAACTCCATCTCTGTGACTGCTTCCTGGAGACCCAGACCGACACACTGCCCTCATCCCAGCCACGTCATCGCTGGCCTGGGCAACTGTAATCAGCCCTAACTGTCTCCCTCTTTCTCTTTCACTCCCCTCCCCATCCCATTTCTCACACAGAGGGGCAATGATCTTTAAAAAACTCTAGTCAGACTCCATCACTCCTCAGCTTTAAAATAATCGATGGCTCCCCTTTGCCCTTAGAATAAAATGTCCAAACTCCTTCCCACAGCCTCCAAGGCTCTGTAATGTGTATCTGGCCCCTGCCCATCCCTCTGCCTGCCTCTCAGACCCTCTCCCCTTTGCTCACAGAGCTTTAGCCACACCAGCCTTCTTTCCATTCCTCAAATACATCAAATACTTTGCTGTTCCCTCTGAGCCTCGGTCTTCACATTCAAGTTTCAGCTCAAGTGTCTCCTCCTCCAAGAGGCCTTCCCTCATGACCCTGTCTAAGGGCCCCTCCCAGGCAGGGTTGCCACACTTAGAAAATAAAAATCAGATGAGGCCAGCCCCGTGGCCGAGTGGTTAAGATCAGGAGTTCTGCTTCAGTGCCCCAGGGTTTTGCCAGTTTGGATCCTGAGTGCAGACATGGCCCCGCTCATCAAGCCATGCTGAGGTGGCGTCCCACACAGCACAACCAGTGGCACTCACAGCTAGAATACACAACTATGTAGTGGGGGTCTTTGGGGAGAAGAAGAAGAAAAGAAAAGATTGGCAACAGCTGTTTTCTCAGGTTCCAATCTTTAAAGAAAAAAGAAAAAATCAGGACATCCAGTCAAATTTGAATTTCAGATAAATAACAATTTTTTTAGAATAAACATGCCCCAAATATTACAACTATTGCACAGGACATATTTATTTATACTAAAAATTATTCCTTAGCTGAAATTCCTATTTCTCTGGGCGTCCTGCGTTTTGTTTGGTCACCTTACCTCTGGTCAGTCTCCACCACCACATCCCATCTTTTCATCCTCATGGCAGTTATTGCCACCACAATTGTCTTGTTGGTGTATTATCTGTCTTTCCCCAAAGCCCCGGCTACCCCTACTCCCCCCAGAGACTCAGACGGAAGCTTTAGGGAAGTGGAGGCCTCCTCTGTGCTGTTTATTGAGGTATTGTCAGGGCCGGGCGTGGTGTGCTAGCAATTTATTATTATTGTTGTGTCCACCGAAAGAAAGAGTCTAGGTGACATTAGCGGAGGAGCTTATCAATAATTGGTGTGAGGAGTTCGAACCTGGGGAAACCATTCCACAGAGCCCTCTGATGGGGCTGCTTGAGGGGTGTGGGATTAGGTGCAGCCTATGGCTCTTTCACAAACAGTGCACCTGCAGGGAAGAGGAACAGAAAAAAAACTTACAACCAGATTTCATATAAGTCGAAAAAAAGGGGGTAGAGCCTATTTGGGCTTCTCTCTAGATTTACATCGAAGGTGACACAAACGAGAATTCCTTGGTAATTATATGTCAAACAAGTTCAGAGATGCTGATGTTATCTGTGTGTGGAGGGGGGTGAGGATCAGGGTCCTTGACTATTCCCTCGATCTCTAAGAACGCAGGTGGGGAGAGGGAGAGCGAGCTACCCTTTATCTCTTCCTGCTGTGGCTCTGTCCGGTGGCCTCCTGGGTCAGGAGGTGTGGGGTTCAAGGTCATTTGACACAGACTGACCATGGTCTGCGCGGCCGCTTCCCAGGACAGCGTGGATGTTACTGCACTGACTTAAAGCCTATGCGGTTTGCTCGCTAGATTCGCCTGCTACACCACGGAGACGGGTCCCAAAAATCCGTCCACAGTTGTTAGTACATTAATATACAACATTTACGAGGATGCTTTAGTATTATCCTCTGGTATCGCTGAAGTGCCTTTGCAGCCCACGCTCTGGTAAACCGGGCTGTACGACCCGGGGGCCTCCTCCCTGTCCCTGGGCCTCAGTTTCCCCCTGCACAAGGAAGAGAGCCCGGCGAGGCAGAGAGCGCGGGCAGCCGCCGGGAGGGGAGTGGCCCGGGTCCCCTCGCGCCGTCCGCCCCGCCGAGTCCCCCAGGCCCGGCCGCCCAGCGACCCCTGGCGGCTGCCTGCGCCCCGCGCTCTGCCGTCCCAGTCGCGGTGCTACACCGACAGCGGCCCCCCAGTCCCCTTCTGGCGCCTACGTTTCTCACCCCCCTCTCGGATCTCGGTGAGATCCCGGGCTTATCCCAACCCGATCCCAGGTCGCCGAGCCCGACCGCCGCTGGCTGGGGTGTTGGCCCTTTTCTCATGCGGACAAAGAGCCCCGCGCTGCTCCCAGTCGTGCGGAACCTGAGGCGAAGGCCCGGTTTCCAGTCGGTCGGGGAGAGGCGAGCACTTCCGGGGGTTAGGGCGCACGTGCCGAGACGCGCGCGTGTGCTTCCGAGGTCGCTTCCGGGGTCCCTCCAGGTGGGAGTCGCGGGGGCGGCTGCGCCTGTGCTCGGGGACAGAGCCGTCCGGGACCGGGAATGGGCGCAGGTGGCGGGCCGCGCGCGGGGCGGGCGGGGGGCGCGGGACGCCGTCCCCGGCGTGGCCGCCGCGCTCCGGCGTCGGGCCCCGGGGTCCCCGCTCGGCGCCGGGGCGGGGACGGCGGGACGGGGCGGGGCGGCCCCGCGGCTGGGCCCGGGCTCGCCGAGAAGCTCATTCGGAAGAAAAGCAAGAAGAAAAGGTTGTGTCACAGCAAGGCGCGGGAGGTACGCGGGAAACCGGGAAGCGGCCCTGGAGGTGCCGTGGTGCGGCCTCCAAAGGCTCCAGAAGACTTTTCCCCAAACTGGAAGGCGCTGCAGGAGGTAAGACTCGCGCCGCTCCTGTCCCGGTGGCCGCCGATCCGGAAAAGGAGGGAGCGCGTGGGACCCAGAGGAGGCCGATCGGAGTGAAACCTCGTCCGCAGAGCTTCTTGCAAGAACAGTGGCCTGTCGACGGAGCTCGCGAACTCGTGGGTAGAGGATTCTAGCAATACTTAGGGCTTTTAAGTCTGTAGTAGTTGATGACAGGTACTCCCGGGCACCGAGCTCTTAAAATGTGCGGACGCTGCCATGTGAGCTGTGTATGTGTTCCAGCTCCTTTATCATTTCCGTTTCACGGGTGAGGAAACCCGCCCGAGGGATTAAATAAGTTGTCCAAGATTGCAGAACCCGGAGTCTGGGGCTAGAGCCCCTGCTCAATGCTAAGTGGTACCCACTGCCTCTCTGGGCATCGGTGGCCAGTACTCAGGGAGATGTTACTCTCTGCCGGGTGCTGTTCCCTGTGCTTCCCTCCTGACTTCTCTCCGCCTCCCCTGGAGGTAGCTGCTGCTGTTATCGCTGTGTTCTAGGTGAGGAAACGGAGGCAGTGAGCTTAAGGGACTTGACGCAGGTCACATAGCTAGTAAACGGCAGGCTGGGGTTCGGAGTCACCCACTGGGGCGTGAATTTTTGCTCTTTGCTACTACTGACCTTCAGTCTCTTGTGCAATTTTCTGGAGTTTGTTGCAGAGCTTCAGAGTGACCGAGAGCACAGAGAAGAGCTTCTTAACAGGGCCCGATATCTTAGGGGGAAAGTCCTGATAATTCTCCTGTCTTCAAACAGGACTGATGAAATTCCCACGGGCCCCCCAGGTTTCTGTGTGATTTCTGTAACTGTCTCTTTGTGTTTTTCTTTCTCTCAAGAAAGTAAAGCAAAATTGAGTGAGTGAGAAGGATGTTTACCATGGGGAAAACCTTGAGTTTTCTCTAGCTCATACAAGAGAGTAAGTCCTTCTGTTCTTTAAATATCACGGGGGGGCCGGCCCGGTGGCACAGCGGTTAAGTGCGTACGTTCTGCTTCGGTGGCCCAGGGTTCGCTGGTTCAGATCCCGAGTGCAGACATGGCACCGCTTGGCAAAAGCCATGCTGTGGCAGGCATCCCACATATAAAAGTAAAGGAAGATGGTCACGGATGTTAGCTCAGGGCCAGGCCTCCTCAGCAAAAAGAGGATTGGCAGCAGTTAGCTCACGGCTAATCTTCCTCAAAAAATAAATAAATAAATAAATAAAATTATGAGGACAGGTCATTAGACACTCGCCATGTCACCTCTCTGCTGGTTGCACAGAGGAGGCTGGGCTGGAAAACCTCAGAGAGTCCTTGTGTGACAACAAGTATGGCTGCTCCCAGTTCTTCAGCCACCTGCAGTTTGACAGAAACTTTCACTGAACACACCCCTGTCTTCTTCCTGAGACCTTCACAACAGTAGGAAACCAAGAAGTCTTGTAAAGGAAGTGGTTTCTGTGCACCGGCTTGTTGGCCTAAGCTGTGAGAGAAGTGACTCTAAAGCGAACTCTAAATTGACTGTGAAGGGGACAGCAGGTTGCGTGTCGTCCCCTCGGGCTCAGAATGAAGTAGTCTGTTCAGTTGTTCAGCAGGTACTTAAGCAGGTAGAACACGAGTTTGAAGTTTCGTGGGAATGAGGAGGCAGGTGGCAGATTGTGCACTGTAATGAGATAAGCAAAGAAAAGCATTCGCCACGAGTGACTTACAGATGGAAATGAAAAAAGGCTTTTCCCAAATGGTTTGAAGGTGAATTTCAATGATGCTCATGGGAAGTATGTGTAGATGTGATTGACATGTGTGTATATACACATGTGTGTAAATTTTTTTGACCTCTCGTGCATGATTTCCCAATTAAAATGTGTCCTGTATTTTCTTTTGGGTCACACAGCTGCTGAAACAAAAACCACAGACCCTGGAAAAGCCTCTTGTTATCTCTCAGATGGATTCCGAAAAGCAGCCCCAAATTATGCAACAAAACAGAGAAGCCAGCCCGGGTAAAGCTAAGAGAGATGAGACGGGGGCAAAAAAAGCAGAGCACGCAGCCAGCGGGGGCTCTGCTCCTTCAGGAGCTCCTGCAAAGGCCAGCCGAGCAGAGCACAGTGAGAAAGGGACCAAGAGAAGGACAAATGGTGACATTTCTCTGACTCAAGGGGACATCAAGCATAAGAAGCGGAAAGCTAAGGAGGCGGCTGTAGCCTTGGCTCCAGCCCCGCCCACCGAGTAAGTCCCAGCCATCTGCCCGAGCCAGTGGTCATCTCGTCCCTGAGAACAAAGTCCCAGCGACCAAGGCCTGTCTCCTCCAGGAGGCTGGCGACCCGTCCCGCAGCCCTCCATCACCTCACCCTGGTGCTGTTTGTTTCCTGAGGATGTAGGCATGGTGAGGGCGGGGCCTAGAACACTTAGCAGGCCCCTGGTAAAGATGTGTGGAATGATGGATGCTGAAGCCAGGAAGACCGGAGTGTGACACCGATTCCTGCATCTTGCCAGTTGGGTGGTTTGGGGCAAGTTCCTGCCGTCCCGTGAGCCTCAGTGTGGTCATCTGTGGTGTTGTGAGGGGTCTGTGAGATGTGACCTGCTGCCTCAGCACCTGGCAGTTACTCAACAAACCCTGCGATGGTCACTCACCTGGGGGGACCAGGAGACAGTGGCCGCCTCCGAATGGCTCAGCTGGAGGTGGCGTGCTTGTAAGTCAGGCTGGCAGTGTGTGGCCTGGGTGTTGAGGACATAGTTGCTAAAGGTTGCAGGAAAGAACGTTTGGACCGCCTGCCGTGTGTCACTGTGCCAGGCGGGCTCTGGAGAGAGAGCAGTCCCTGCAGGTCCCTCCCTCCTGAGGTTGGTGGTCACACAGGGCAGGGACAATAGGCTGAATGATTTCAGTAGTTCCCTGAGTGTGGTCAGGGCGGGTCCAGGGCGAGCGGCCGGGGGGACGTGTCCATTCAGAGGGCTCAGGAAGGGATGTCCAAGGATGTGACGCTGCTGCTGCGCCGGAAGGATGGAGTGCACCAGGCAGAGAGTCACGTCCCTGGATGGGCATCATGGGGGTGGCTCAGGGTGAAGGCGCTAGCCGTCCTTACACCTCGGCTGGGCGCTGTGTTTCCACTGTATGGTCATTATGTTCGTCTGTGTTCCCTGATGCTTGACAATGAACGCATGACTTTTGTAGTTAAAATGGTAGCCGTCATTATCCCTGGGTGCTGGGCTGTATGCTTCTATTTTATATTCTCTGTCTTTATCTGTAGTTCCTACACGTGGGATGATGAGCACATTTTCCAATGAGAAAGGAGAATGCCGAGATGATGAAAATAGTGGGAGCCCCTGGGCCTGTGGGCCCGGGCCGTAGGGGTCCGACTGCTGTGAGGAGCAGACCCATCGAGCAGCGTGTGCAGCCTGGGCTCCTCCCTGTCTTTTAGGGAAGACATCTGGTTCGACGATGTTGACCCAGCGGACATTGAAGCAGCCATCGGCCCAGAGGCAGCCGAAATAGCGAGGAAACAGCTGGGGCAGAGCAAGAAGAGCGTCACGCTGGTGAAGGAGCAGGCCTTCGGCGGGTGCGCTGGGCTGCACGTGGGCCGCTGGGCGGAAGTGGCCAGCCGTGGAGGGCGGGGGTTCTGAAAGGTTGAATTGGGAGGCACCTCCTGGTGTCCTGCTAGGACCCTTGACCGCCTAGAGCTTGTCACATGACATGGGTGAGCATGGTGACGAGCGGGGAGCTTTGGGTGCTGATTCCTGGGTCCTGCAGTGTTGGTTAAACTGGACCCTTTGGTTCCCCTCAGTCTGACAAAAGCCTTGGCCCTGGATTGTGAGATGGTGGGCGTGGGCCCCAGCGGGGAAGAGAGCATCGCTGCCCGCGTGTCCGTTGTGAACCAGTACGGGAAGTGTGTTTATGACAAGTACGTCAAGCCTACGCAGCCAGTGACTGACTACAGGACGGCGGTCAGTGGGATCCGGCCAGAGCACCTTCGGCAGGGTGGGTCACTCACAGCTAGTGACCACAGAGGGCAAGCAGTAGCTGGGCCCATGCTCTCCCTCTCGTTCCCTGTTCTGTTCCGGAGCTTTCCCCAGAGCAGGAGTCCTGACAGCTGCACCCCACGGGGGATAGTTTTCAGACGGCTCTCCTGCCTCTAAGCCATCCAACCTTCAGGCCAGGCGTCCTGGACAGCTCGGGATCCCTTGGCAGTGGGGATGGAGATAGAGTGTGTTTGAGGAAGGAGACCAGTGTGGGGTGAGGAGGGGAGTAGGGGACGCGAGACCATTGTGAGGGCTTTGGGAAGCCATGGGAAGGTTGCCAGCAGTGAGAGGCCTGGTCTGGCTCAGGTTCTAGTAGGTTCCTTCTGGCTTTGGGGTGGGAATGCGAAGATGAGGCATGAGCTGGTGGTGACCTGGGTCAGGGAGGTGCTGTATGAGGTGACAAGAAGTGGCCAACTGTAGACATACCCTAAAGGCTGAGTCTGTCGGGTTTGCCAATGGACTGGCTGTGGGGGAGAGCAGAGGGGACTTGCATCCAGGGGGCTGTGGGATTTTGGACCTGGATGGATCCTGGAACCCAGAGGTGGAAGCTGCTGCTCTGTTTTTCTCTGGCCTCTTTTCTGTGCACCTCTTAGGTTCTCTCTGCACACATGACCAAGAAGGCGGCTGTGCCGCCCCTCAGTACCCCGGGCTGACCAGCCTCTCTGGGTCCCGGGCTCTAGCTGATCCTGCTTGGCTTGGGGACGGGCAGAACCACGGGGAGAGGTGCAGTGGCTGCAGGCCTTCCCGGGGAGGGGCTGGCCCCGAGGGTGTGCACGGTGAGGAAGCTGGCAGAGCCGCGTCTGGAGCCTGGGCCTGGAGCAGCGCGTCTCACCTGTGGCAGAGGACACACGTGTTTTTGCTTCCTGCTAGAAAGACAAAGTACAGCCCTGGTCTCATGTCAGATTCAGCTGTCAGAACCACCGTCAGACGGCCACGGGCGCTCTGAGCATGCTCGGCCTGTGCTCCCCTCCGGGCTGTGGGGCGGCTCTGCGGGGTGTGCGGGGCGCTGTCCTTCCCTCCTCACCAGGCCTGGCTCTCTTCCAGGAGTGGGGTGTGGCCTGGGTATGGTTGACGCCCTCTTCCTGGGTCGGAACCTCAGCTGACCCCTCATCGCAGGCAGAGGGGCGAGGGCTGCTCCCTCTCCAAGAGCGACTGTGACTGACCTGTCGCCCCAACCGCTCCTTTGCTTTGATTTTCAGGGGAGGAGTTTGAGGTGGTGCAGAAGGAGGTGGCAGACATGCTGAGGGGCCGCATTCTGGTCGGACACGCGCTGCATAACGATTTAAAGGTACTGCTGCCTCCTGCCGCCACGCGGATGCCCTCGTGCTGGCTGGCTGTGTGCAGTGCACGTCACGGTCGGGCTCTTTTAGTGTTTCTGAATTTGTGCCTCTGTTGGGAATCCTCTAGTGACAGCGTCAGAGATCGTTTGGCGAGTTCCTGCTGCGTTCCGGGAGCCGTGCTAGGCATTTTGTGTGAAAGAGACCTCCTTTAATTCTCTACAAGGTCTCGGAGGGGTTCTTAGTGGTAAAACTGAGGCTTCGTGAGTTAGTGGGTGTGCCCACGGTGTCGGCAAGGCAGAGCTGGGTGCAGACCTGGCCTGACGCCAGCACCACCAGGTGCCCACGGCTCCAGCACAGCCACGTCAACAGCGCCTGCACCCCCTCTGCGGCCTCCCCCAGCAGGGCAGGAACCGTCTATTGAGAGGCATTCCCCAGCGGCCACTCCCTCAGAGCCACTGGGCAGGCAGGCAGCGCTCCTGTCTCCCTCTCACAGGCTGGCCCACGGTGGCCAGGGCAGCGGGCAGCAGGCGAGCTGAGAGGTCACTTCCACTGGCCCTGGGGATGTAGCCTCCAGCCCTTGCTCTTTTAGGGGCTCTGCGTGGGCAGAACTGACCCACTCATTCTGATGAGAACCACGGGCCTGGCAGAGTGGGAGACTGTTGTTCCTGGCGGGGGCTTTCCAAACAGTGTTCTCTGGAACCCTGGGGTCCTTGGATTTAGAGGCTGCTAAATGTTGGTCTTAATTGCCTTTTTTTTTCTCTTGGTGTGGAAGATTCACCGTGAGCTAACATCCATTGCCAGTCTTCTTCTTTTTTGGCTTGAGGAAGATTATCCCTGAGTTAACGTCTGTGCCCATCTTCATCTGCTTTGTTTGTGGGACGCCTCCACAGCACAGCTGATGAGTGGAATAGGTCTGCACCTAGGATCCGAACCTGCGAACCTGGCTGCCAAAGCAGAGTGCACAGAACTTGAACAACTCAGCCATGGAGCTGGCCCCTTAATTGCCTTTTAAGATAAATTTTGGGGCCAGCTCCAATGGCCTAGTGGTTAAGTTCGGTGTGCTCCACTTTGGTGGCTCAGGTTCAGTTCCTGGGCGCAGAACCATACCACTCATCTTTCACTGGCCATGCTGTGGCAGTGGCTCACAGACAAAAAGAAGAAAAAAAAAGAAGAAGATTGGCAACAGATGTTAGCTCAGGGTGAATCTTCCTTAAAAAAAAAAAAAGGTAAATTTTGAACTCTTAAAAACTAGCAAGTCCTCTGCCCACCAAAATGCGTTGTATCGTAAATGTTCTCCTCTCGGGCCACCCCCCCATTAGCTTGTGCTCCCTCCTGACACCCACTCCATCCCCAGTAACTTGGGTAGACTGTTGCTTAAATTTGTCCCGAAGGCTATGCTGAGATGAGCTGTTAAATTCTGCTCTCATTCCTGACTTCCTGTGTGTGCAACACCAACTCAAAATGCAGGGACAAGTTGGTTGCAGTTAGTTGTGACTGTCAGTCTCCTGCTCCCCCAAGTTCACGACTGTGCTTTTGTCAGTGTGGCTCTTACTGTCGAGAGTCGCCATTAGTGTGTCGTCCTCCCTCAGAAGTTCAGAGTCACATCACTGCCTTTTTTCACTTGTGTGTGTATGTGTCGTTTGTTGGAATTCTTGTAAGAGCTTATCTGAAAAAAGGGTTTCCACTGCTACAGATCAAAATTGAAAATGGTGATCACTCTGTCTTCTTCCAGGTGCTGTTTTTAGACCACCCAAAAAAGATGATCCGAGACACACAGAAATATAAACCTTTCAAGAGTCATGTTCAGGTACTTAAAGTTAGTGTGGTTCCTGGGGCCAGCCCTGTGGCCTGCTGGTTAAGTTTGGTGGGCACCACTTCAGCAGCCCAGGCACAGGTTTGGATCCCAGGCATGGACCTACACTACTTGTGGGCCATGCTGTGGCAGCATCCCACTTATAAAATAGAGGAAGATTGGCACAGATGTTAGCTCAGGGCAAATCTTCCTCAGCAAAAAAAAAAATTAGTGTTCTTCCACACGCTGGTAGGTCTGTTGTGTGGTTCACATGATTGCCCCTGGTAGCTGACCTGTTGGTGAAGGGTGTTTTGGTTTGGTTTTGATTTTCCTTTTAACCTTTAAAACTGAAAGGAATCTTAGAAGAAAACGTAGAATTCTGGTGAACGCCAGCCCTAAGACTCAGTGCGCCTGATGCGGGTCGTTTCCACTCTGTTCTCCACAGTCCAGGGAACTGTGGGCGGGCTCCCTGGGAAATGGCGGGAGGCCGTGGCTGGAAGGCAGGCATACAGGCTCCTTCTGCAGCCCTCCTCCAGGCCGATTGGGTCACTGGCCCCAAGCACTGTGGCACTGCCAGTGGGAGGCGCACTGCAGGTCACCTCGGTTGGGGCTCAGTAGGTGACTCCCCTGCCTGGGGCAGCACCCCTGCTCTGGAGAGCCTGCACAGGCCTTGCCCCAGCCTGGCTGTGTGCTCTCGCCTCTCCCCTCCAGAGTGGACGGCCATCCCTGAAGCTGCTCGCAGAGGAAATCCTGGGGATCAGGGTGCAGCAGGCAGAGCACTGTTCGGTGAGTGCATCCTGGGATGACAGACCTCGGGATTAGGGGCCATCCCTGAGCTTACAGGCTAGGTGCCTTGTCACTGACAGCAAACACAGTGGGCCTGAGTGACTTCTTTTTTAGGAACCTGCTGGTCCATAAAAAATGAAATGGCAGGCCAGCTTGGTGGCTCAGTGGTTGAGTTCACATGTTCCACTTTGGCAGCTTGGGGTTCGCAGGTTCAGACCCCAGGCGCCGACCTAGCACCACTCATCAGGCCATGCTCTGGCGGCGTCCCACATACAAAATAGAGGAAGAGGGGCCGGCCCGGTGGCGCAGCAGTTAAGTTCGCACGTTCTGCTTCTCGGCGGCCCGGGGTTCACCAGTTCGGATCCCGGGTGTGGACATGGCACCACTTGGCACGCCATGCTGTGGTAGGCATCCCACGTATAAAGTAGAGGAAGATGGGCACGATGTTAGCTCAGGGCCAGGCTTCCTCAGCAAAAAAGAGGAGGACTGGCAGTAGTTAGCTCAGGGCTAATCTTTCTCAAAAAAAAAAAAAAATAGAGGAAGATTGGCAGAGTTGTTAGCTCAGGGCCAACCTTCCTCACCAAAAAAAAATGAAATGGCACAGCAGGCTTATAGTGTTGACTAAATTCTAAATGGTTATGTTTAACTAATTAACAGACTTAACACAAACTGCTATACTGTAAATGTTTGGGAAAAGTCCCCAGTGTAGACCAAAGGCCGCTTAGGACTCTGTGGCCCAGGTCAGTCAGCCCCTTGGTGACAGGCCCTGGTGACCAGGCCGAGGAGTGCTGGTGCCTGGCCACAGGCTCGTAGAACCCAGCCCCTGCCCCATTGTGGTCGCCAGCCCTCTGGGCTCTTTCTGCCCTTCGTCTGCGTCTCAGCAGCCGGCTCAGAGGCCACCGTCCACCCTTCTGTCCTGACGCCCTCACAGGACAGCACATTTTTCCCTTCACGTCTGTGGGTCCCTTTCTCTCCTGGAAATGGGAGCGCCTGAGTTGCAGGAGAGGGGCGAGGACCATGTCACTGGGCGGCTGCTTTTCTCGGTTCCTCCGTGTCTGGTGCTAGGCTTGGTAATTGTGGGATTGCCTGGCACGTGGCCATGCTTCTCCCCCACTGGGCCAGCCACAGTGGTGTTCCTTGTCGCCTAGATTCAGGATGCCCAGGCGGCAATGAGGCTGTACGTCATGGTGAAGAAGGAGTGGGAGAGCGTTGCCCGAGACAGGCGCCCCGCAGCCGCTGATCCAGCCCGTGGCATTGACGACATCTAGCCGTCTGCCCCTGGCAATGACGATGCCTGCCACTGGCCCCTCCCCCTGCCTCGTGGCAGCGTCTCCGTCCACAGGCAGTTGTGACCACATCTTCCCAGAGCAGCGACTGTTGCAGCGTTTTCAAATCATGGCAGCAGGGCATGGGAGCATGCATGCTGCTGAGAAGCACTTTTCCTTCCCCCTGATTTCACGATCTCAGACCTAGGCCCACCCACAGGGGGTCGGGCAGCACAGGGAGGGACATAGCTGGGGGAGTCAGGGCATTTGTCCTGGGCACAGCCAGGAGGTGGGTGACGGGGACTGAAGTGGGAGTGCGGACAGGGAGTGGGCCACGCCTGCCCTCTGCCGTCACCACGGACATGGCGGCCTTCGCTGGGCTTCACCAGGTCCCGCGGTGGGAAGCGCCCAGTTGTCCACTGGGTCCTCAGCGCTTCCTCTCAGGAGGCCTCGTTCCCTCAATCACCCTGAGCCATGTAAAGAACTCTGCTGGACTCGAGGGGCGGCAGACCAGTGTCTATGGTCAGCCCAGCCACAGCCTCATCATGGAGTTTATGTTGCTGCCTTTGGACGTGGAGGGACTTTCTTCGAGCGGGTGTGCCTTTCGCTCTCCCCACACCTGCCACATTTAAACTCGAGTTGGAGCCCACAGCGCAGCGACGTGGGGCTCAGGCTGCCTAATGGTGACAACGGTTATTCCCGGAGGCAGGTGCCTCTCCCCATCCAGGACAGACATGCTGACCTCCGGCCATTGCGCTGGAAGAGCTGCGTGGGCTCCTGTGTCAGGATCTTTGGGAGAACAGGGTGGGGAGCAGCCAGCCACGCTGAGTGGAGCGAGCGCATAAAGCAGCGGCTTCATGGAGCCACCTGCTGGTGGCACAAAAAAGGTCCAAACCCACTGCGGGTGTTACTGAACAAATGCAGGTTTTTACTTGAGGTGGAGCTCGCAGGGCTCAGTGTCTTTCCCTCATTTGGAATGGTCTGGAAGGACCCCTGTGTCTGCTGCCACCTGCTCCAGCCAGGGCCGAGGTTCGTATATAGTGCAGAATCAGCTACCAGGCCACCCTAACCCCAGGCCGGCTCAGCCCCGCCAGGAACTGAAGAGTGGAATGCTCACGCTGGCCCCCGGTGACAGTTCTTCCTGACCCTCGTCCTGAGGAGGAAGGGACGGCGGGAGAAGTCCCAAGTAGGAGGGAGGCCTTAGGGGTCTGCCGCCTCAGGGTAAAGGCGACTGCCCGCCCCCGGGGCTTGGAGGCGTGGCCTCCTCCAGTCTCTGGAGCACCTTTTCTGCATAAAAAACCAGCTCCTGGAAGGAAAAGAGTAGGTCACTGTTTTGTGGACAGTCTTGGAGTCCACGAGTAGTTGTTTTTGTGATTTAATCCGCTCTTTGAAGAAGTCTGATGAGCCGTCCCCATAGGATTTACTTTAGCCCCACTGTAGACAGAATTACAGGAACGGTCACTAAACCACCCACAGTGACCCCGGTCAGTTCCACATAGACCTGCTCTAGGGCCCTGGACTCGGGCCGCCCGAGCCTGGCTGCAGAGGCCCTGCCACACGCACCAGGCTGGAGGTGAAGCGCCCGTGGATCTCCTGGACCAGGGGCTGGATGCCGCTGGACGCCAGCTCGGACAGGACCTCCTCTGTGGGCAGAGCAGAGGTTCCTGAGGCTGGGGCACTTCCGAGGAGGCCAACAGGACAAGACTGTGTCCCCCTCCCACTCAGGCTCAGCGTGAGCTGCATGCCACCCCTGGGACTCAGGAGCTGGGCATCAGCACAGTGCCTGGCGCAGGCGGGCACTCCAGTCAAGTGCATAGGAACTTGAGGGGGCTCACTGTAGGAGGCGAGGTGGGCCAGCAGCATGCAGACGTTCTCCACCACCTCTGGGTCATCCCTGTAGAGCTGGTATGTCTCCTTGATCAGGACCAGGCCACTGCTGCCCTCCTTGGGCATCACCACATGCAACGCCACCAGCTCTGGGGGGTGGGGGGGGTACAGGAGAGAGTGGGGTCACTCCTGTGGCTGCCTACACCTCAGTGTCCTCTGGGAATGGGGCGATGGCACTCCAGGTTCATAGGGCTGCTGAGAGTCCAGAGCGCTCAGGACAGCAGGGCCTCAGCCACTGGCAGAGGAGGCTATGGTTTCCTGTAGCCTGGGGACCTCAGGTGAGAATTTCCCCACTCTGCTGTAAGGCCTGTGAAGGCATCTGCTGCCTTGTCCCCTCCCGGTGCAAGTGTCCACCCCACCTCCCTCCACCTGGGCAGCGAGAGCCTCCTGCCAGAGGGTGGTCTCTGCCCATGGGCCCCACAGAAGCGCCAGTGCACACTGCAGAAGGTGTCTGGAGGGAGGCGCTCCCCATGAGGAGGCTCAGCCACACGGGATCAGGCCCGGCGCTGGAGGGCTGGGTGCTTGTGTGATTCCACGTAGCCGTGACTCATCAGATCCTCCTGGAGCCCAGGTGAAGCTAACACTCGCGTGAGACAACTTGGATGTCACACAGCCCTCAGGTGGCAAAGCCACGATTCTCACCCAGACTGGCTCTGGGGTCCTGTTCACTGTGGTCTGCTGATCCCACTCCCTCCCCTGAGCAGAGCCATTTCCCATCTGCCCTCAGGGCCTCAGCCTGTCCCAGGAGGATTGGCAGCTGACCTCTGACATGGGTCTGTTGGCGGGACCTGGGGGACAGGCCTGGAGCCCAGGGTGGGTGTCTGGGACGGAAGACACCAGGGTCCCCAGGAGTGAAGCTGCCCACCCCCTTCTCAGGGTTGGGCCACTTCAGGCTGAGGAGCAGACAGGCCTGGCTCTCTTTGCTTTCCCCTCCAGGCTGGCCCTTGGCCCCAGCCCCGCCCATGCAGCTGCCCTGGAACAGAGTGGGAAGCAGGCCACCCCACATACACAGCTGGCAACCTTGGCCAGTCTCCAGGCCTCAAGTGTCTCCATAAAGCGTTACAGTGCCGCAAGTTCGGCACGGGGCCGGGGACGGCTCGCAGGGTAGCAGCCAGGTCTGTGCTGTGGAGGCGAGCATCTGGAGACAGACCTGTCTCCTGGCTGCACCTGTAGGGAAACCTGTGCAGACCTAATAGGTGTTTATGGACTGGGAAGGATGGTCACAATACAGTGTTAAGCAAAAAAAGTATCGAATGCAGGTATAAAATCTCCATGGCAATTTGTAGATCATGGGACTACAAATAGTTTTTCTTTTTCTTTTTTTGATTTTTTGCCTGTTTTCAGGTTGTGGGCAGCTGGTGGACATTACTTGTTGAGTTTTGTCCCCACCTCCTAGTGGCAGCCCAGTCTGTCCCCAGGCTCACCGGACACCTTTGCCAGGCTGGCCAGGCCCCGGTAGGCGTTGTTCACCAGCAGGACTCTGTCCTGGCACAGCTGGATGCTTTGCAGGAACACTGCTGCCACCTCTTCAAACTGCTCCTCCTTTATGCAGCCTGCAGAAGGGCCAGCGCGGGCCTTGTTGCCTCGTGGGTCTGGGGTCCACCCCTCCCAGCTCCTGGGACCCCAGGCTACTCACCTAGCAGGGACAGCAGCCAGAGGACTGCACAGCCAGCCTCAGCCATCTCCACATCTGTGGGGTAGGTGGCTAGCACCTCAGCAATGAGGACTGGGGCTTTCTCCAAGGGGGCCTTGTTCACGATGACAGCTGGAACCAGGACAGGGTGGAGGAGGGGACACCTAGCTCTTGGGTGCAGTCTGGAGTGCCTGCTGTACACATAGCCCCCCCACCTGCCTCCCACCGAGGACAACAGAGCAGAAGCTGTGAGGGGAGAGGTCACACGTGCTCAGAGATGGGAAGATGGGGAGGGAGTGTGTATTTGGAGGTAGGGGTTACCCGTGCCCCCAAGGGGAGGCTTGGGGGATTTCGCCCTTTGGGTGTGGGCAGGCCTCTTTTCCTTGGGCAAAACTGCCCAGTGCTGGAGGGCCAAGCTGGGGCTTGGGCCCCCCTTTCCTGAATCAAAAATGAGGATAGGCTGCCAGTGCTAAGGTTAACTTCTGAAGCCAGGGGTGCCGGGAAGACCCAGAACTTGGGGGCCAGAGGGGATCCCTGGGTGGGAGGCTGCGGAGTCAGCGAGGGGCCCACCCACCAGGGCAGAAAGGCCCACCTCTGCTGGGGGCAGGACTATTCCCCTCTCCTTTCTTTCGCTCTGCTTTCAGGCCTTCAGAAGAGCCCTCCTGGCCATGGCTTTCCCTGAAGTGTTTGTGGGACAGGGCAGAGAGACCCTTGAAGGCTCTGAGAGGTGTGTAGGGAGGAGCAGAGGGAGAGAGCCAGCCCCGGGTGCAGAACGGGCCTCACCGTCCACCAGCAGGACCCAGAGCAAGCTCAGGCCCTTGACGCAGATGTCCCTGTTCCTGGAGAAGGTGCCCAGATGCTCCAGGATGTGCTCAAACAGCCCAGCCTGCTGCAGCTCCTCTGTAGCAGATTCTGTGGGTTGGCCCTGGAATTAGGACCACGGAGAAGCCCTCCTCCAGGAAGCCTTCCCTGAGCAGCTGCCTCCCTCTTCTCTCGTCCTCGGGCACTGCGGTCCCATGCATCCTCTATTACTTGGCGCTTACTCTGGGCCAGTTTCATGCCCAGCATAGGACCCAGAAACAAGAGGACACGGTTCATCACCTTGGCCACCAGTCCTAGTATTTCCCATCCCATTACTAGGCTGGGACTAGCCTTTGTAGCTTTCCTTCCAAGGGGCCTGGTCCTGCGACTTGGGGCCACACAGCATGCATGAGCCTTCCAAGATAGGCCCACGACTGTCTTTCCTGGTGGGATGACTTGACATCCAGTTTGCCTGGCGGATGGAATTTACACCTGTTGTCCCCACATGCCTGTTCATAGCGCCCCTTTTCACTCCCAAAAGTGGGATCAGCAATGTGCAGTAAATGATCCGGTCAGTGTAGGGAGAGCAGGGAGCCAGGGTCCAGCCCCTGCCTGCCACGGACTGTGGGTGAGTGTCCTTGGGCTCCCTCAGACTCCAGCTTTCCTCAGAGAAGACAGTGCTGACCCATGAGGTGGTTGGGAGGCGTGTGAAGGTGTGTAAAGCCCCCAGGAATGACCTCCTGCACACTGTCCCAACTCTGGCCGCCTCAGAAGCCCAGATGCTCTATGAAATGGAGAGAAGCAGGGCAGAAGACAGTGTGAAGCCCACAGTGGTGCCTGGCACCTAGGCAGTGCCCATGCGTATTTGTGGAGGGAGTGAGTGACTGCAAAAGTGGAAGCTTTCCGTCAAGAGAAAAGAAAAAGGACGAGATGTGGAACAGACCAACCGAAGGCAGTGCAATTGTGCCGTCTCAGGAACAGGCCCAGCACTACCCCACCCACGTGGTGTGCCCCAGCTTCTGCCCAAGGGAGGGGCCCGCAGACTCACCCTGGCTGGAGATGATGGTGAGCAGGCTGTAGACCATGACCAGGAGCTGCTCTGTCTTGGGGTGGCTCCGCGTGATGCTCAGCAGGACAGAGGTGACGGAGCTGTCACTTGGCATCTCGGCTGCTGGGTCCCGTGCCAGTGCTGCTTGGGCCAGTGGACAAAGCCTGGGATTAACCCCAAAGCTGGGGACCATGGGGCAGGAAGACTAAGTGCAGGTGTGAAGGCAGCACCCCCACTTTGCGTGGAGGAAGCTGAGGTCAGCCTTGTTCTCCTGGCACAGAGCGGGTCCCCATAAGTGCTGGTTGTGTGACGAAGTGAAGGACCAAAGGGGTCGGGGACCACCCTGGTCCACACAGCTGGTGAGTGACACTGTGCGGCCAGTACTGGTTTCCAAGACCTTACCATGTCTGTGCCTAACACACAGTGCACACCTAACACACACCCAGCTCAGCACCCACTTGGCCCAGGGGGTCTCCCCCAACCCGGCACCCACCTCCGCCCAGGATGCGCAGCAGCAGGGAGCAGGCACACAGCTGTATGTCAAGGATCCTCTCGTGTTGCTTCATGATGGTGACCAACACCTCCACCAGCTCCAGCGGCCACGGCAGACCTGGCAGGGCAGGGGGCAAAGTGAGGCTTGCATAGGAGCTGGGGGGAGGGGTGTGTGGACCAGATGTTGCTGGGAGCCTACAGGATCTCACATGGCCCTGGGTGGATGAGTAGATGGTGAAGAAACATGACCCATCACTGCTTACTGAGTGCTGGCCGCATGTCTGCTGCAGGCATCTTACTCCTGCCAACAGCTCTACAAGGCAGATCCTTCCTATTACTATTCTCCTTTTACAGATGAGAAAACTGAGGGTCAGAGAGATGACAGCACTTGCTTTGACCGAACCTGTCTGACTCTGGAGCCCTTGGCTGTGACTGTCTTGAGACTGGACCTCCCTGGGTCCCGTTGACTTTCCTCCAGGCCCAGGCCCGTGCTGTGTGCTGGGGAACAGGTGAGAGGCAGTGGCAGGCAGCCACGGGTCCAGTCCCAGCTGTGCCCCTTCCCTGCTGGCTGCCTCCCCCCTTGGCCTGTTTCCTCATTGGAAAGTGCAGAGAGCAGCCCCTCCAGCTCAGGCTTGAGAACAACAAGGACAAATGTGGTGGCACCCAGGGAGCCAAGCCATGGCTAGCCCACCCAAGGCTGTCTGAGGCAGGCGTGGCTCTGGGTGGTGGAAAAGGCCATCCTTGAGAAGGGGCCCAGCAGCCTCCTGCAGTTTCTCCAGGAAGGCAAAATCTCCCTCCCCGTGGACTCACTCCTGGCCACAGCCTAGCTCCAGAAGGGGTCGGGGGGAGGAGGAGAGGGAAGGAAGGGCGAAGGCCAACAGGAGGTCTCTGCGGCCGCGTTAGAGCACTGGGACTGGGCCTTAGTAATCTCTGATGCTCCAGGCACTGGGATAGACCTTCTGTGGAAGGACTGATGATGGACAGATGGAGAGAGAGACAAGTTGATGGATGAGTGGACAGATGGCTGGCTGCTGGATGGACGGATGGATGGATGGATGGATGAGTGAGCGAATGTAATATTCAGGCTGGTGAGATAGAGGTTGAGTGGAGAGATTTTATGAATCCTGTCTTTTATTTTATTCCATTTTGGCAGAATTAAAAAGGTTATTAATATTCATTGATGGAGAGTGCTGGTGGAAGAGGTGCTTGCATGCACGCCCGATAGGTGGGTAAGTTGGTCTATCTATGGAGGGCACTTTGCAGTATCTATGAAAACATGAAGTATTCACACCCTCAACATGTCGGTATTTATCCTACAGAAACACACATACGTATGCTCCAGGGTGCTCTGCGGAGTATTGTTTATAACATGGGCAAATGAGCTACAGCTCACATACCTATCAGTAGGGCTGGTGGGAGAGATGGGATGTCTTATTCAGCATCCATTAACATCATGTGAAGGGAGCCCACTAGGAGCGGTTTGGGTACCAAGCCACCCCTCCCCCCTGCTCTGCTCAGTAAAAGTGACAACAGAAAGGACTGCAGGCCACCTGTTCCAAGCAGCTTGTGCAGACATGGACCCCCAACAGGACTATAAATGGGCCTCAGGGATGAGAGAAAACACACCTAGGAGAGCTTGGAGGGAGGGGCCTGGGCGCCCCCAAAGGGAGGACCAGGGAGGAGGTGGGGTGGGTTAGGGGCAGTCTCTACCTAGGTCAGCTTCCTTCATTCTCAGGAGCCTTGTCATGGCCCTGAGCTGGACTTCAGGTTGGCTGGAGAAGTGCTGCATGAGCTCTGCGGAACACAGGGAAGCATGGAGAGAGCTGCCGTGAGCTTCCCCAAGCCCAGGGCAGCTCAGGGACCCTCCTGGGGGCTGGGACATCCTGTGGGCCTCACGCTGGCCTGGCTGCTCGACATGCACACCTCACAGATCCACGTGACCGGGCATGAGGTGACACTCATCATCCCAACTTTCCAGGCCAAGAGGTGTGTCCAAAGTCAAACCTGAGCCTGTCTGGGAGCCAGCCCTGCGCGTGCACTGCCACTCCATTGCCTCGCTCCACCCCTGCCCAGCCTCCTTCCCCCGCTCCTCTGGGCCCCCCAGCAGGTTTCTCTGCCTTCGATTCAGAACAAACAACCCCACCCCAGAAGCAAGCTGCAATCTCAGACCCCCTATCCTGCAGCTGACTCAGACCCCTCCTCCGCCCCTGCCTGGCTGGCAGCTTGCGAGTACCCCACAAGCCTTACCGTCCTGAATCCTCACAGCAGCCCCTGGGCTGGGTTCTGTGTGATCCCTACTTTAGATGAGGAAATGGAGGCTCCAAGTGGGTGATGGGCTTCCATTGGACCCAGCTTCTGCCTCCAAAGCCCGTGACCACAAGACATGGGGGCTCTGAGCAGCTAGGGCCTCGTGGGTGCCTTTCCACCTTTAAAGCCTCCTCTGCCCTTTTCCCAGAAAGGGGGCAGAGGCAGCAGTTGGGGCAGGGGTGCCTTGTCACAGGCAGTGAGGGGTGCAGGGAGCCATGGAGTGGGAGGGGGGCATGAGCGGCTTACCCACACGCCCAGAACACAGAGGGATGGGAGGGTGGAACTACCCTCGAACTTGAAGATAACCTCTAGGCCTTTGGCATAGCTACTGTGTGCCAGTCACTATGCAGGGAGCCCCAAAGTGCCCCAGCCTGGAGCACATGGCAGAGACGAGCACGTGCACCCGGGTGCTGCATGACAAGCAAGCAGTGTGCCAGGTGACTGGCTGCACCCTTGCCTGAGGCCTGCAAATGTCAAGGTGCAGATGGAGCCCCTGTGCTGCAGGGACACGCCCGCAGTCCAGGGTCACTGCTGCACCCATCCCAGTGTTCAGCAGGAGCCCAGGCCCGTAGTAACCACACATGAAGCACTGCTGAGTAGGGAAGACACTGTGGGTGTCAGGGCCCCTGTGCCAGGGTGTGGAAGCAAGAAGCAGGCATTCTGGGTGTTGTGGCAGTGAGGGGCTATTCAGTACATGAAGGACTGTGTAGGGGAACAGGGAAGCAGGTGGGGGCCAGGCTATGGAGATGAACTCTGCTATAGGTGACGGGAGCTGGGGGGTGTCTGAGTGGGCAGCACCCTGAGCGGAGCAGTGCTGGGGATGGGTGGAGGGTGAGCCCGGAAGCCTTCCTGCCCCCCAGCCATGCAGGAGGAGCAGTCAGGGGACTGGCTTGTGGAGGAGGCACTGGCCCTCCGGAGCTAAGACAACGGGATGCCAAGGCCACGGTGGCCCCATGGCACCCTCCCCCTCTGGGTCCCCATCATCACCTAAAATGCTGGCCATGTTGCCTTCTAACAGCATGTTGATGATGGATGTAGGCAGCGCCTCCCCGTCCAGCGTGAGCGAGGACCTGAAATTGCTCCTCACAAAGGTGATCTGTGTCACATCCCTGGAGGGGAGCAGACAGCCAGGGCACTTGCCATGCGGCCTCCCTCCAAAGGGCTCAGGTGGCCCTCAGCGGGCAGACGCTGGCCCTCCGCCTTCCCATTTAGAATGTGTTTGGCAGCACCTCTCGTGATGTCGAAAGCGTGTCCAGCTGACTACCCAGCAATTCCACCTCCTGGAGGGACACAGGTGCTGGGCTCTGGTACTTTGGCCCGTGTGGGCTCCTTTCTCCATAAAAATATACCAAAGATCAGATTTCATGACCATGTTGGTATAAAAGCGAATATAACCCAGGCTGGATTCATTGTTATATCTTCACTTTTTTCTTCTGATTTTAATATAAATTAAAATGGAAACATTTTCCTGGGCCTTGGGGCTGTGCCTCCTGGGTCTGACGGAGAAGTGGGCCCTGTTGGCTCCAGTGCGCAAAGATGTGCATTCAAGGTTGTTCGTTGCTGCAGTTTGGGATAGCCAAACTTGGAAAAGGCCAGAGGTCCACGGGTGAATCGGGGTGGGTGTGATGGGGCACTCTGTGGCATTAACACACCAAGTGGCCGTGTAGATGTTTAGGTGGGAAGATGTTGGACGACGAACTGAAAGAGTAAGTACAGCCCCAAACGTGCACTCACCTGACGGTTACTCGCTCTGAGGGGTCAATCCGGAGCATCGAAGGTAAGAGGGAAGAGAAGGTTGTTGCATTGGGGATCTTCCTCTCCTTCATGGTCCTCAGAACGTGCCTCAGGCCCTCCGGGACAGTCCGGATGGACTTGCGCAGAAGCATAGCTTCTGTTTTCTAAGAGGAGATGGAGAACACTGCTTCACGCATTTCCTCAACTAAATGAAAACAGCCCTTACGGGGTGGAGGCTGTGCCGGGCACTGGGGAGGGAGTGGCGGGGGTCGGGGGAAGGCCGCAAGAAGACCTGGCCGCCACCCTCAGGAATGCCCAGAGACCAGCTGAGCCCAGAGGTCCTCCATGAAGGAGAAATGGGGATTCAGAGAGAAGGGAGCAGACCGTCTCGTTGGGCGGAGGGAGTGAGGGACAACTCTCCCTCCACAGTCGTGTCAAGAAGGCCATGGGCCTTATCTCTGATCCAGACCCAGCTGATAAGAGTCTGGGGGTCCGGGAGAGAGTGGGGAGCGCCAGAGCCCCACAGGCGGACCTCGGTGCTGGCACGCGGGGCTGGGAGGCAAGGGAGCCCCTGCGCTTGGGCGTCGCAAGCACTGAGGCCTGGCCTCTGCCTGCTCCCTGCTTTCTCTCCTGTATGTAGAGGGTCTGAAGTCATGAGGTTCAACTTCCCAGCCTCCCTGAAGCCAGGGGACCAGGTGCTACGGAGCGGCTGGTGTGGCCCTTTGCTCTTCCCTTCTTCCTGCGCACAGCGCAAGTCCCTGGTGCAGGGGTCTCCAGCGGCTCTGAGAGCCAAAGCCCCACATGAGGGAAGTGCAGGCACAGAGAAGGTGCCTGTGCACCAGCCTGAGGCCCCGTGTGTCCAGGCCCTCGCCGGTCCAGCTTCCCAGTGCTTGCAGCCCAATGCATCCTTAACTCAGACAGGGACGGAGCACAGTCCAATCCCAGCGTGGGCCGGGTAGGGCACCTGACCTCAGGTTTTCTCATCCATAAGGGGCAGTGATGACCCCCGAGGGCTGTGGGCAGGTTTCAGTACTGCCCTCACCATCCTCATCATCACGCTAGGGCCCAGCAGGGCCAGGTGCTGAGTGTGGGGTCCTCCAGCAGCTGGGGTGGGGGGCTCTGCACAGCCCCGCGAAGGCAAAGAACAAGGGCAGGAGGAGGCAGATAGGAAAAATGCACCCCTTGCAGGGTTGAGGTGGGCAGGGCCTGGCCCCCTGGGGACGTGGGGAGTGAGGTGTGGGGTATGGCAGCGAGGAGCAGGTGGAAAGCAGCTCACATTCATGAAGGAGCAGCTGGCCATGTCAAGAATGATGCAGCCCAGGGACCAGATGTCAGATTTCTGGCTGAAGGAGAATTTGAGGGCTTCGGGGGCCATCCAGGACTTCTGAAGGGGGTCTGTTGGCAGGAGAAGTCAGGGGATGCATGAGTCCTGTGGTGCCTGGGGAAGCGAGCAGCTTCCACTGTGATCCTGACCCTTGGTCTTCAGCCAGTGAGGGGGCCCATGTCAGCAGGTGCCCACCAGGCTGGCCCGTGTGTGTGTGCAGGTCTCTGTGCCCACAATGGCTGTCGAAGTAGTCAGAGGAGACATGTGCACCCTCTTTAAACGTCTTGCCCCCTTTAGTCAGGACCTTGAGGCAAAGTTCAAGTTGTCCTGCCCTAGTTTCTAAACCTGAACCCCAGACAAGAAGCCAAAAGAGCAGGGTCCTCAGTCCAGCTCTGTCCCTGAGAGGCCTCAAGAAGACCCCCAACCCAACCTCCACACCCCAGCCAAACAACAAGGGGGGCTCCAAGGACCCCCGCCAACCTCCAGGAGATATACCCATCCACCCGCCCACCCACTAAACCATCCATCCACTTATCCACATCCCCATCCACCCATTCACCCGGCCACCCATCCGTCCACCCTCCCATCCATTTATCCTCTGCACCAAGGACAGAGTGCCACCAGTACCTGCCACCCTAAGCCTCTGAAGCTCTCCACTGCGGTCGCCCTCTCCATCCCTGAGAGTTGTGACAGGCTTAAAGCCCAGCTCCCTGTGCCCCATTGTCTTTTCAAAGGCAGGAGTACTCCTGGCCCCTTGCCTCCACCTTTCCCATCTCCTGGGTTATTTTAGGACTCAGTAAAGTGATCCAATCATAGCCAGTGCGTGGCATCCAACAGTCCTCTGTTCCTGCATGTCCCTGCCACGGCAAGTTTCCTTCCTTCTGAGGCCTTTCTTCATCCTCCATGAAGGCTGACATTTTCTGGGTGTCCTTTGGACCCAGCGTGCACGCCCACCACCTGCTCAGTTATGCCCCAGACAAGGGGGTCTCTTTGGTGTCCACATAAGCCCTGGGGGATCTGTAGGGATCTTCTGAGCAAGGAGAGGTTCGATGTTGCCACCTTCCAGCACGAGCCATTGCCCACTGGACTCTAGAAGTGACCCCTCGGGTGAATGGTCCCTCTCCCATGGCTCCCCAGCTACCACTGTCCCACAGCCTGGGAGGACCCTGGCCACCTTCCTCCGCACGGATGTTCCACTTGGCTTCATCGGTCATCAGTGCGTTGCAGCTCAGGTCCTGCAGTTTGCAGTGGTTGCTGCTGACAAGGATGATGTTGGAGGGCTTGAGGTTCCTGAAACCAAGAGACACACCTTTCCACCCACCGCCCACAGGGCCACTGTGGGTGACATTCCCGGGCGGGAGCTGCGTCTTCCAGCAGCTGGGCCAGCCTGTGCCCTGAACGTTACTCTCGGTTCCCCGCCCCACCCAGCTCCCCAGGAGCAGCTCACACCCCTCTCTCCTCATTAAACACCCTTTTCACAGCCCCCTTTTAAAATATTGTTTTCTATAAACATAAAATATACTCAGTTATTTTAAACTGGAAAAAAGCCAATACAAGTAGGAAACCACCCAATGCTTCTCCAGTCCCTCTGCGAACATCCTGTTCACCTCCTTCCAGATCTTAGCTACACGTTTGTTTGGGGATTGGTTTTTGACCATTTTGTAATGTCCAGCTACATCAACACTGAATTGTGAGCATTTCCTTCATACATGGGGTTACATGGTTTTTCTCTCCTCCTTTAAATACAATACTGATCCAATTGGAAGCCATTCCCAGCCCCTCCAGACTACGGGTCCCAGAGCGTGAAGCTGCACTGCTGGCGGGTGGAAAGCCCCAGCTGGGAGCTGCAGCCTGTTGACCTGGCCAGAGGGCACAGCAGGCAGCCTGATCTCTGGCCCTCGGAGTGCTGTTATCTGGTTTCTTTCCTTGCACTTTACAACCAACCCGCCCAGTCAGCTCACATTTCCGAAGAAACTGGAGGTAAGGGTGAGTCACTGGAGGTTACACGGAGCTGATGACATTCTCTGTAAGCCTGGGAGGCACCCTGGAAAGGCGCATCCTTATCCTGGCTGCACAGACCCCGGCCACACCTCCCTCCCTCCATCCTGCCACGGGCACCGATACCCAAGGGGACTCGGTGCCTTTTCTCCTGAAGCAGCCTGGCTACCCGGTCACCTGTGGATGATGTCCAACTGATGCAGGTAGTCCAGAGCGTCCAGCACCTGGCCCAGCATGTTCTGCATCCACTGGGGGAAAAGCGAGAGATGCCAGGATTGGAGGGGACCTGAAAGCTCTGGAAATGGGGCTCCCTGCAGCTCAGCGCAGGTCAGGGCAGTGACCTCTCAGTGCAGCCGGTGGAATCAGGGCCCATTCTCTTCTTGTGTCTTGAGATGGGCCTGGAGCTAGCCATCTCGGCTGGTGCGTGCAGGACAGGCTCAGACAGGACTCACAAGGTGCTGACCGTAAAAGAGGCACTTCACACAATTCAGAACTTCTGTTCATCCAAAGACATGGTGAGCAAAGTGAATTGGCAGCCGCAGACTGGGAGAAGACTCTGGATACCCACATCCGGGATTTATAAAGAACTCACACAATAAGACACACAACCCCAATGTTTAAACGGCCAAGAGACTGGGACAGGCACAAAAGAAGATACCTAAACGGCCAGAAAGTGCTCACCTCACCGTGACTACTCATAATAACTGAAATTAAAACGTAATTTTTAATTAAAATTAAAAAGACCGACAGGCTGAATTGTGGGCCAGGATGTAGAGTTGGACACTCACAGCCTGCAGTGACAGTAAACCCAGGGCGTCACTGACTAGTTGCCCCGAGGAACTCAAGAGTGGGTTTGGAAGCATTTAACTGTTTTTCCACATTGTTCTTTTTCCTTCTGTTATGTTAAGGAGATGCAATTGCCAAGCACCCCGGACCTGACCAAGCCTCACCACAAGAGCTACACCTGTGACCTTCGCCTTATTTTTAGTGCTAAGATCTCTCCAGGAGGAGCTGAGGCCTTACTACCATAACCTGCAGTGTGTGTGGGAGCATGTTTTCCAACTGAGCCTGTGCAAGCGAACACCCACCCCTCCCTTTCGAATATTCATTCCCCATCCGAAATAAATGTCCCTGCTTCCCGTTGTTCCAGGACGCCATGACTCTGGAAATGATTCCGTGTGGTCTCCTATTTGCCGCAAATACACCTTACTTTGTGAGACAACTACTTCTGGTGGAGAGTCTGATTTAACTCACCTGGAGGGAACCCACTTTGGTTCGCTGACAGGGTCACCAACTGCCTTGGCAAGCACGGTGGAGCATCTGCTAAGGTTCCCCCCACGCCCACGCCCGGACAGCACACTTCCACGCCAAGGTGTTTATCCAGGAAAAGTGAGTGTTTAGGTCCATCAAAAACATCCAGCACTGCTCACGGCCACCTTCCTCACCATAGCCCCAAGCTGGAGACAACCCAAGTGCTCCCCATGCTAGACGAGACAGAGACCGCAGGGGGACACAGACCATGGCGTGGCCACCCACGGAGCAGCGCTGAGTCGTGGGGAGGGCCTCTTTCCTGATACGTTCACGGCAGGGCTGAACCTCAGAAGCACCAAGTTGAACACAAGAAACCAGACGCAAATGCAAACACGCTGTGGGAGTGCATTTGCGTGAACTTCAGGGGCAGGCAGAAGTCCAGCCACGGGTGCCGGTGGGGAACGTCTGGAGTTCTGGGAATGTCCTGCTTCTTGATCTGGGGAGGTCATGTGTGTGTGCCTCTGTGAAAGGCACCAAGCCGTCCATGTCAGATCTGTGCACATCACAGTGTGCAAATACCTCCATACATAAGCCTCAGGAAAAACTAAGGCTAGGCTCCAGTGGGCCTGCCCTCCCCTCTGCCCCTTGGCTGCCCCCCACTGTGGGGTCTGTGACATCACAAGATCCAGGTGCTCCCCAGTCCTGGTGTCTTAGAGAGTCTGTGTTACCTCAGAGTCAATGATGGTCCTTGCCTCCCTGTTCTCCTCGATGACCTTCTGGAAGCTTTCCTTGTTGTACTCCATCACCAGGCAGAGGAACAGAGAGGAGATCTGCTGGGGACACGGACCCCTGAGCCAGAAGCGTCTGTTCTGGCCCCCAGAAGCCCAGGCCTGGGTGCTTCTGCATGGTCAGCTGCTCCAGGGCCTCCCGCCACCCGGCCACCATCCAGTGGCTATGGGGGCACTGCTGGGGGCGGGGGTGCAGGGGTGCAGGGGTATGAGCCCCTCGTGAACAGCACCTGCTCACGCCTCTGGCCTCCTCTCCCTACACCCACCACAGCCCCACCCCAACCCCATCTGCACTAAGCCATGTGGACCTTTCTGAAAGCTGCTCGGGCCTCCTGGCCACTGCACGCACGGGCTCTTGAGCCTGGGACCCCGCCCCTCCAAGGGGTGGCCACTCGTTCTTTAGGGCTCACTGGGGATCCACTGCCTTCCCCTGAAGCGCCTGCCCCAAAGGGGACCCCAGCAGACCGTGTCAGAGGCCTCACCTCAGGGCTCTCAGAGGACCCGCTCTCCCCCCCACAGTGAAAGGTCCTCTCGGCTCTTCTGTGTCTCCCTGGGGGCATTAGGGGGTGAGGTGATGATGGCCCTTCCCCAGGCCTTTTCTCAGGACCCAGCTGAAGGGGGGTATGTGTGTGAGGGGAACCCCTGCTCCTGCTCAAACCCTTGGGGGGACACAGATGGGGACACTAACGTGGAGATCTAGTTACCGTCTGACCCTCAGCAAGAGCAGCCTCCCTTCACCCCTAGCCCTGCCCCATTCCAGCTCAGCATCCCCCCTCCACCTCAGTCCCATCTGGAGTAAATGGAAAGCTTCTGGCTCTTTATAAAGACAAGAAGTCATACAGCCTGTGGGACAAAACACAGGGCATGGGGGCTACAAGACCCAGATTTGAATCCCACTCAGCTGTTACTATTTGTGTGGCCTTGGCAAGCTCCTTACCCTCTCTGAGCCCCAGGGAAAAGAGGACAGCGCTTCCTACCCTGCAGATCTCCTAGGATCTGAAGATGAACGTGCAGCTAGTGAGTAAACTGCAGGAGGTGCAACAGTCAGGGGTCCAGAGGCCTGGACAACCTGATGCCAACTGAGGGGGGAAAGCAGGGGGCTTCCTGACACCCGCTCCTTCCGTGAAAGTCAAAACTCCACCTGCAGAGGCACAGACTTCCCAAGCCTTTGGCTGCAGGATGAGCTTGGCAGCTGAACACACGGGGCACTGGAGTCAGGCCTACCTGGCCCCGCTCCTGGCTGGGCCACGTGCTAGGTGGGAAACTGGGAGGAACTTGTTTCTCTTAGCCTCTATCTCTTCCTCTGTAAAGTGGGATAGTAACCCCTCCTCCACCGAGGCTGTTGGGGGCTCACATGAGATGATGCCCACAGAGCCCCCAGCATGGCCCCAGTAAGAGTTGATTTGGGGCTAGCCACGTTTGGAGTCACTGCCATTGCCACTGGAGGGGTTAGGGTGGCGTGGGGGTGCCCTGTGCTCTGTTCACTTGTACCTGCAGCCACGGAATGCCCGCTGAGCCCGCCTGTCTGACCCACCTCACCCTTCCACATGATGAACAGCTCCTGGTAGATGGAGATGTGGGCGTGCTGAAGTGTCAGCAGCGGCATCAGCTGCAGGGACAAGAGCAGAGGAAGTGGAGATGTTCACGAAATGCCGTTTCTCAGCCAGTGATCCTATGTTACACAGCCCAACAGAAACACGTGCTACCAGCCCTGAGCAGAGCAGGGGAGTGGGCACAAGGGGTGTGCAGCCTGGTGGTCAGGAGCCAGACAGCCCAGTGTGGGTCCTGCCTGCAGCATGTGCTGGCTGTGCTGTGTGGCTGAGAGGCTCTCAACCTCTCTGAGCCTCCTAGCCTCATCTGAAAATGGCCATAACAGTGGTGTCTGCTTCACAGGGGTGTCATGAGGCTAAGGGAGCTGATGCAGGCAAAGGAAAGAAAGGTGCCCAGGAGATGAAGCTCAGTCAGGGTTGGCTGGAGAAGGTGGGACACTGACTACTCATGCCCCCTCGCCTCCTGGGTCGTGCCCCTACCCCTAGCTGAAAGTGCTTTGAGAATGAACACAATTAGGCAGCAGAATGGCTACCTTAGCGACCAAGAGCCAGAAGGACAACCGCTTATGATGGAAGGTTGGGTTGAAAGCAGATCGCCCGGCGGATGTGGAGGGGAACGGGGGATGGGAAAAGCTGTGATGGTGTGGGGACTATGGGTGGGCCCCCCATGTGCTTTCTTTCATTTTGTCAGCATGTGGCCGGGGTCCATCTCTGCGCATCAGCCACACTGTGGACCGAATAGCTGTTTGCTGGCAAAGCTCAAAAGCTGGCAGTTCCAGAAAGAAGACAAGCAAGTGACCATTAGCTTGGAGGAAAGACATTTAACTTCATGCGAAATTCAAGAAAAGCAAAGAAAAACTGCTCAGAGCCTCTGTCTAGCAAATCGAAGTGCATGCAGCTGTTATTGCTATTATTATAAATTAGGATGTTACTGTCAGTTCTGACTGGTAGATTTAAGGAATGTAAAAGAGTTCACATTTTCTTGTTAAATGATTCTGTATTTTCTAAATTTTCTACTGTAACTTATACTTTTATAGTCGAAGAAAAAACTCTTTTCAAAGATGGTTATTGGTGGATTAGCCTAGGGGTCTGGCCAACATATGAACTTTATCTTCTCTGAGAACATATATTCTAAGTTGTCTGCACCTGGATTTAGAAATTATTGTTTTGGACACAGACTCCCTTTAGGACCTGGGGGCTTCTGGCTTCACAGCTGGGGCAAGAACTGGTTTTGACCCTCGATGCCTCCACCCAGACTTCTACCCAGTCACTCCCCAGGAGGGGACAGAACAGTCTCCATGTGTTCTGCCTCATGTCCTCTAGAGAGGGAGCCACCCAGAGCTACCTCCTCCAGGGCCTTGTTGGCGTGATGCTCGTCAATGCAGTTCACCTGTAGGGGCACAAAAGGACTAGCTCAGTAAACATGCAGTAAACCACCACCACCACTATCACCATTACCATCACCATCATCACCATCACCACCATCATCATCACCACCACCATCACTACCACTACCACTACCACCACTGTCACCATCATCACCGCCTACATCACCACCACCACCACCAACACCACTACTATTACCACCATCACCACCACCATCATCAGCACCACCACCGTCACCATCATCACCACCTACATCACCACCGCCACCAACACCACTACTATTACCACCATCACCACCACCATCATCAACACCACCACCATCATCAACACCACCAACACCACCATCACCATCATCAATACCACCACCATCATCATCATCATTATCATCCCCACCACCACTATCACCATCATCACCACCACAACCATCATCACCACCACAAACAATACCAACACCACCACCACCATCACCATCACCATCATCACCACCACCATCATCATCATCACCATCATTATTCACCAGGAGTGCCAGGCTTCTACCATTCATGCCCCACCATATGGCACCAGATGGAGCCTGGAGATGTTCCTAAGGCAGGGATCCAAAAATACTCTGAGCAATGAGAGCATCTTTGCTCCTGTTGCAAGGATAAGTTTAGAATAGCATAATATAAACTTCAAGGAATCATTAGAGGATCCATTTTCAGATCATCTTGAAAGAAGGGAAGAAAATAATATGTTGCCTCCAGAGCCAAACAGCGCTGCTCTGGTCAGCAAAGCATCAACCTCACCACTTCATTCCTTATCTGAATCAAGAAGATTGTCCCTGTCACTGAATGTGGGGCTGTGGGGAAATGCACGGAAGAGGGAAGGGGGGTGGTAATGGCAGCACTGAGCTTTGAGTCTGCAACACGCTTTGTGGCAAAGACTGTGGGTACATACTATCACTTCATCTGATACTGGATCCTAACCTGGACCTTCTGCTCACACCACCTACAAATGAAGAACCCTTGTAAGTGGGGTGATCTTAGATGAAGATGCAGAGTTGGTGGATTACTCGCAGATGCAGGGGAAGGCCCCAGACACAGCAGCACAGTGAGTGTGCCTGTCTCCCCTCCTTCCACTTCAGGGGGCTCATGCTTTGGTGAATTTGTCCAAAACATACTGAAAGCCTTAAAAATGTCACGTCTTTCAACCTAGAAATCCCACCCCTAGGAATTCATCCCAAGAATATCATGGATCTTCAAAAAAATTAACGCTAAGTTGTTTATCAGAGTTGTTTATACAGAGTGAAAAATCGAGAACAAGCTAAGCCCTTACTGCCCATCAGGGGCTGGGTTGTGTCAGTTACAGCATATCAAGCAGATTGGGGCCGTGCAGCCACCAGAGCCAGGAGAGGGAGAAGCTGTGTCAGCAGCACAAAATGATGTTCACAACACGCTAAGTGGGAAAAAGTATGTATCAATCTCAACAGTATTCTTGTAAAAACAAAGTAGTTTATAAATACTTAGAAAAAAGACTGGAAGGATACACAAACCACTACCTGCACTTCGCTCCCATTTTTTTTGTTGTTGTTTTAGAAAGATTGACTGGCTTTTAAAAAAGCTCCTTGACTGCTCAGAAGGTAATCAGCCGTCCTGCCCCACTGGCCTGTGAGACGATGGGGCCGGCCCCACGGCCAGCCAGCCACAGAGTAAGAGGGGGGTAAGGACTCCAGGCCAGGACTTGGGGAGAGTCTGCTGAGCTGCTGCACAGGCTGTGGCCACCAACAGGGCTCTTCCCCGGCATGTCAGCCCCCATCCTGTTGTATCCTGGCCATCACCACACACCACAAGGGGGGGCCAGGGAATCTTTTAGGACCACTCTCTTCCTCCAGACCCTCTGTTCATCTGTACCACCCTGGCTTGGACACACAAAGAGCTGTCCCCCTGCAGCTCTTTTGTATCCTATCCTGCTGTTCCAGCCCTGGTGAACAGGTGGTGGAAGAGTCCAGGGCCCGGTGTCCTGCCCTTAGCCCTGTGTGACCTTGAGCAAGTCCCTGCCTCCCCTCCCTGGGCCTGGCTCCCCTTTGATAAAATTGGTGGCCCCCAGTGAGGTGGCCTGCATTCAAATTGTCTCAGGAATTATGTGATGCTGGCTGGTCTGCAGCCTCCCCAAGCCTTCCCATCCTTGGCTGTAAAGCAGGGTCGTGATTCCTGCTTTGCAAGTTTGATGGAGATCAAAGGAGATGACGCCTGGCATAAAGTATGCACTGAATAAATGGAAGGGTGAAAATTAACAAAAGAAACCTCAACTAAAACTGGAGTCCGGAAGGCCTGTTGAGGAAGCTCACACACCATATTCTCGTCATTTATCCCAAACAGGAAAAGACATACCTTGAGTCTCCAACAGGAAGGTGTCTCTACTTTACTACCTATGCAGGAGGAAGGAAGATTTTCTTCTTGCCCAGCAACAAGCCCAGCCAATGGAAAACATGGCAGCTCAGCCAATGAGAAGCTGTCATCACCCTGAACTCTTACTTTCCTCCAATGAATTTTCACTTTTCCTTTGCTAATAACTTCCTTGCCCCACCCTCCTTTCTATAAAAGCCTTCCATGTTGTATAATTCCTCATCTCTCTCTGCTTGCTACTTGAGATGCCCGATTCATGAATTATTTGATAAAGCCAATTAGATCTTCAAATTTACTCAGTTGAATTTTGTTTTTTAACAGGAGGTATGCCTGTGGTTGTTCTCAGAGTAAAAATGAACAATCCTCCTCCATCAAGGTGAGAGAGTCAGATGTTTGGGGAAGGCTGAGTAGCCTCACGTCGCTCCCCACGTCTACCCTCAAGCGGATTTGCCTCTGTGACAGCTGGTGGAAAGGAATCCAGCTGTTGCATCAGGAAGCCTTTCTCTAACGTGTGGATGATGAGTGTATGTTGGAGAACTAGCCTCACTGGGTGCCACAGGCGTGGCCTCTTACCTGCTTTATCACACACTTTTCTTTCGTTTCTGTCTCCTCTACCACCAGGTTCACCCCCAAGGCCCCAGGATTCAGCTGGTCCAAAATCTACCAGTAAGAGAGAGAGAAGCTTTCAGGAAATGCACACAGCTCTTCACTTTCCAAGCGTGCCCAACTCCAACGCCTTTTCTGGTCCTAACTCCCCTGCAGGTTGGCGGAGCATGCATCTCCGCCCTGTTCTGCAGATGAAGCAAATGCCCAGGAGGCTGAGAGGCCCTTTGAAAGTGGGACTGAGCCCATCTCTTTGGGGCCAAATCTGGAGCTCTTTCCACCACCCCATGCCCCTCCTCCAGTCTGCAACAAAGACCAGCAGGCATCCAAGAGCCAGCACATCTTTGGGGCGGAGGATTTGTTCACTCTCTCCAGCCCTCTATGATCCCAGCTTGCAGCATCCACCTCCAAATTGGGCATCCAAACAAGAAAGTAAGTGGGCCATAATTGGTGCAATCATAGGCAGCCCTGCGTGAGCCTAGCACTGTGCCAAGCAATTTACAGCCACCTCATGTGGTTGGCACTATTGCTATCTCCATGTTCACAATGGAGGAAACTGAGGCACAGGGAGCTAGGTCCTTGTCTGAGGCTACAGCACTAGTAACAGAGATGGCCTAGATTCGACTGGAACTCTGGGGTCTGACTCCGGAGCCTGTGCATTGAGCGACAAAACCTGCAGAGAGGTGGCCATCATGCCAGAACTCTGCATAGGGAGGCCAAGGACTGTGGGGTGAGGGTGGATGATTGGATTACATTTATCAGAGACTGGAGGAAGGGGGGCAGGATGCAGAGGAAGGTTATGTAAGGGATGGAACCCTGAATCCAGGGGCTCTTGAAAAGTCTTAGGATTCTGTAATCCAGCCCCTTTGGGCAGCCCGAATCCTGCTCAGGGAATATCAGGACAATGTCCTCAGCAGCTTAAGCTGGTGAAAGAAGGCGCATGCTTAGGTTCTCTTAGGTGGCAAATTAAACAGTAAAACGCACCCATGTCTCAGATCAAGTCTATTTTTTTTTCCTGAAAAGGTAACTTTGCTTTTAAAATTCTTTGGCCACCAGACACTCATCCGCTTTACCACTGGCTGACTTCCCCACAGACCTCCCACACAAAAGGAATTCTCGCAAAGTGAGAAAAATCTAATTTACAAATTATTTTCAAATTAATGAAATTTTTTACAAAGACAATCTAACATTTAATAAAGTTGACATATTACGCGTAGAAACATTTAATTAAACATTTATTTTTACTTTGCAGATGTCCTTTTGTTTTGTGAATTTTTCAAGTCCTAAACATCTTCACAGGCCCTGGACAAGGCTTAGGTCCCCCTACCAGGTACTAACGGGCGTTTGAGGAGTTTGGGGGCTCTTGATTCAGAATTCTGGATGTTGTAGGGTGTCCTGGCCCCGTGGCCCTGAGCACATGGGCGAGAAGGATGGAGGTGTCTCTACCCTCAAATATTCAGACAGACAGATGTGCTTAATTTCGTCCATCATTTTAGAGAGGGGGAAACTGAAGTCCAGAAAGGCAACGAGCACCCAGGAGGTCACTTTTGGAGGACCCGAGGTCACCCTACTAGCTGGAAGCAGACACTGGCCAGAACACAGGTCCCGTGCTTCCCTGGGGTCGGACCTGGCCGCTGGCTGCCCGTCCCAGGGGCTGTGACCGTTAAACCTGGAGGGGGCTGGAGGTGGTGGCAAAAGGTCCAGATCCCGGGTTCGCCCCTGACCGTCGGCCCCTCGCCGCTCCCGCCTCCCCGCCAGGGGACAACGCGGCACCTGGTATTTTTCCATAGTGTATGGAGGGGGACTCCCGGCCTCTCTCTTCCTCCGCTGGGCGGTGGGGGTGCGCCCCTAGCCGGTGCCGGCAGAGGGACCCCCTATTGAGCATGCTCAGGAGGGATCGCGTCCGGGTAAGCATCCCATCCCCCACCCCGAGAGCGACCCTCAGCCCCAGGTGTGTCTGCCTGGCCCCGGGACCCTCCCTGCCCGAACGTTGTCCCCTGGAACACCCGCGCGTCCCTCCGGACAGCGGGCCCTCAGGACCTGGCCGCCTTAAAGCGCGTGATGGGCGGAGCCTCGAGCGCGGCGGGCGGGGCCGGAGCCCAGGGGGCGGGGCAGGAGCGCGGCGGGCGGGGCCAGAGCGTGAGGTGGGCGGGACCGGAGAACGCGGCGGGTGAGGCGGCGGTGGCGGCGGGCGGTGCGCGGCCCTTTTAAGGCGCGGCCGGGGCGGTCCCGGCGGCGCGGCCCCTTTAAGGCTTGGCCTACGTGGCAGCCACCGGAGCCGCCGACGCGGAGCGAGGCCGGGCGCCGGGCACTTCCTGTGGAGGCCGCAGCGGGCGCGGGCGCCGACGGGCGGAGCGCCGAGCGAGCGAGCGAGCGAGCCGAGTCTCCCGCCGCCGCCATGGGCCACAACGACCTGATGGGCACGGCCGAGGACTTCGCCGACCAGGTGCGGCCTGCGGGCCCGGCCGGGCCCTCCCTCGGCCCCCTCCCCCGAACCCCCTCCCCCAAGACCCCTCTCTCCGGAGCCCCCTTCCCCGAACCCCCCAGGACCCCCTACCCCGACCGCCCCCCGGGCCCCGACCGGCCCGCACCCCGGCCCCGGCTCCGGCCCCCGCCCGCAGGCCGTCCGAGGCCTGGGCCGAGCCCTCCCCCTCCCGCTGCCCCGAGGGATCGCGCCCCCTCCCCCCCCCCCGGAGGTGCTCCCTGCTGGGCTCGTGGGCCGGCCCGGGGCACCCCCAGACCCGGGCTGCAGGCCCCGCCTGCCTGGTCGCCGCTCCCCCATCAGAGCTGGGCTGTGTTCTGGGCCCCCCGCTCGGTGCGCCCCGGCCCCCAGCCCGGCCTGGGCCCTCCTGGGGGATGAGGGGTTGAGGGGCTGCCTCCTGAGAAGGCGGCCAGAGTCTTGGGGTGCTTGAGGAGCGTCCTCGCCATTCTGAAATGTTGGGGTGCTCCCACACGCTCTTCCTTTTACTGGGCACTCTTAGGAGGCAGGGTGGGGAGCTCTGATCCTGGACAGGGGTTGATCAGACTGGAGGCCTGGGGGTCCTCCCAGAGGAGAGGGGGCGCCCTGGTATGCCCCCCAACGGCAGAAAGCCACAGCACTTTTTGTTTTCTCTTTCCCAGATGTTGGACTCATGGGGTCCCTTTGACCCTCCCTGCGTTTTCTCTCCCTCTTTGGACTCTGCCCTGGGACTGAATTGAATGGGTATTTATCTGTACACAAATCTGGGAGGAGGGGAAGCCTATCTTCTTGGGGTTTTTTGCTTCCAGAAGTGTACAGGTGGCATTCTGAGCGACAGGGAAGCCCTGGAAACAGGTGGTTGAGTCATTGTTAAAGGTATTCAAAAACTAGATGGACAGAATCATCCTGGAAAGAGGAGAGGACAGAGCTCCAAACTCTCTTTTGGTTGAACTTGGCAAAAAGACTTGGTGATAGTTATTTAGCTGTGTGCCTTTTACTTCTAAGAGTATCCCGTTATGTCTACAGATTAGCAGCCTTATCCCTGCAGGCAGGTCGGTCTGGCCCAGCTGCAGGTCTTTCCTTGGTTCATTTCATGTGCTTGTGGCTTTGCCTGAGTTCAATGTAATGAGGTTAAATTTTTAATTTTTATGGGGGTGCTGTTGAGTCATCATACTCCGAGGCTGGGCTTACTGGAAAGCGTGTGTGTGTTTGTGTTTGTGACTTGAAAAAATGAGTATTTTCTAATGAGTTATTGGTGAACGAGATTTTCTCTTGTTCCCCTTGAGGGGTGATGTCTTTTTGTGTGGCCTCAGAATTGGGTTCTCAGTGCACCACCTTCCTCTGGGCTAATACTTTAAAACCAGTTTGAGAGGAAAAAAGTCTATCAGCTTGAAGAAATAGTTTTCCTAAGGTCGTGATTTTGTGTTTACAGACGCAATTTAAAAGTTCGTATTGAAAGCTCTCAAGAACCAAGTAGGTCTTCTTTGTTTGTTAGTTTTCATTGACATAATTTTAGTGACCCAATTTTATTTCCCCAAGTAGCAACTCTCTAAGATGATGGCTCCTTTCAGCCGAGGGAGCCATGAGAGCTACATATACTTGCTCTTCGGCCTAGAAAACCCTGGTTTTGCAAGTGAATTTCATAACCAAATCTAGATAAAATGTCTCCAGGCAGACTGCGGCCAACTGTCAAATGATAAACTCTCCGACTGAAAAAAAGTTCACAATCTCATGTAAAGTTCATGTAATCGTCCCTTCTTCTTCTCCATTCATTTTGTGTGTTTTAAGTGAAAGAAGCAGAATCTTGGAACTGGGAAGACCCTTGGGGGACACAGGGTCGGCCTGCACCAAGTTACCGTGGGGAAGGAAGGCGAGGCCTGCTGAGGCTCGCGGACTGGCCTGGGGCCACGGCGCTGGGAGACAACCCAGGCCTGACCTCGCGGCCAGTGCCACAGACAGCGTGCTGCTCAGGCCTGGTGCTCCTCTTCTGGCACAGATGGAGGGGCAAGCACTCTCACTGTAAAAGGGCATGCTGCCTAAAACACAGAAAACCAGCGCTGGCTGTGCCGTGTCTGTCAGGCAGCGCAGGTTCCTGCTGCCAGTTTGTCTGCACCAGGGCCACCTTGGAGGTGGCAGAGGATGTCAGCAGACACTTTACACGTCCCTTTGTGGGCAACTCGGGAGGGCATCGGTCCTCGTGCTCTTCACAGCCCAAGTTAGGAGCCCTCCTTCCACAGGCAGCTTGGCGCAGGAGGAAGACACGGGCAGATAATGGGTGCAGAGCCAGAGTGACAGCTTCCTGTGGACAAAACCTGGCCAAGCTGGCGTGGCGCTTTTGTTTTTGACATTTATCTACATAATATTAAAACAAAGCTGCCAATAATGAAGGTGCTGAGCATCCAGGCTTTTAAAATGAAAATTATCTAATTTGGAGGGAATGGGGAAAGATCATCGAAGTCACTGACCAGATAATCTGACAGGTCCATTTTTTCTAACCTTCAGAAAACAAAAGCAAAAATGAAGTGACAGGATTTGACCAGAAAGTCTGGGCTGCTGAGGGCAGGACTTAAAAAGGCCTGTGCATCCTTGAATGGTTGTGACAATAAGACTGAACCTTTAATGTGCCAGCACTGGACCTGGTCCCCCAGTCACCCTCCGGACCGTGTGAGGTTGGCCACAGCGTCTGCACCTGCGATGCCAGGAGGGAGGTTCGCTGTGGTCTTGCACGGCACGTGGCGGGCTGAAGTTCTGAGCCCACGTCTCGGTACCCCACAGGCTGGGCCCCTGGCTGCGTGGCCATGCTGCAGCCTTTCCTTCAGGCCTGCAGAGGCGAGAGCACGGGGTACGCCGTCAGAGGGAAAGGCTCCTCCCGAGCTGCGTCTCTGGCATCAAACCCCTTGCCTTGGGCAGCCAGGGACAGTGTCCTGCTCCCTGGAAGCCAGGCGCTGGGGAAACTGCTGAGAGTGCTCTCTGTGGGCGCTCGGCATTCGGAAGCCATCTGAGAGCGGGGCGGAAGGGGCCAGGGACCAATCAACTCAGCAATCCAAAGTTACGTCTGTGCTCTGCAGCTGGCTCTCACTGCCAGTCTGCACGCTGTTGCTTCCCCGCACATTTACCCCGGTAAATAGGAGTGTTAGCACTTAATGGGTTCTGCCTGCTGGCTCATCACTAAGGTGACAGATAAGCTGTGTGGGGCCTTGCTCTCCAGTGTGGCCTTTGGTATTTTTACCTGTCCTTTCGCATGACAGAGCAAGTCCTGGGAGCTGTCACCCCCAGGAGCTCCCTTGGCCTCTGGTCTCATGTTGGGTAGGTCGGATGGCCCTGACAGGCACTGAACCAGGCTCTGTAGCCACAGGTGTGAGGACTCTGGGTTAACGGCACGTGGGTGTGGGTAGGGTTCCGGTGACAGTGGAGGGTTCTGAGCATTTTCCTCTTGTTCCTCTGCTCTGTCACCCCTGCCCCCTTGAAGGGCTGCTTGCCCCGCGCCCCGGGTGGGGAGAGAGGGCACAGAGGAGCTGACTCACCCGTCCCTGCTTGCCGGGCTGCGCAGCAGGTTAAGGGAAGCCGCGCCTCTTCTGGGGAGTGGGGTGGAGACGCGGAGGAGACTGTGGTTAGCGAGGCTTCTCCCGGAAGGTGAGGCGCAGCCGTGTCCTCTTCCGTGGGGCCCGTTGCTGCTCTCCTGCGGTTAGGCCCCTTGTCACACAGGGGTTCTTAGTAGAGCCAGCCAAGCCGTCTCTGCAGCTTACCTTGAGGGGCAGCGTGAAGCTACAGCAGCCCCCAGGGAGACTTGGAGTTCTGCGTCCTGTGGACGCACACGTGTGAGTCACTGAAGCCTTGCACCAGCCCCGACTCAGCCTGATGTGAGGGAAGTCCCCAGTTCCTGGGATGTGTGCACTTGAGCTGGCCCTTGAGAAGGGCAGGCCCAGTCCTCGGTGGTCAAGGGAGCTGAGCTGCCTTTTTCTCTTGCTCAGAGTTCTCATTAACCAAGCCCTGCAGACTGCTTTCCTCAGTTCCTCTTGTCTGGGATGCTAAGAGAAGGTAGGTTTTTCTGTGGTGTGCTGTGTGACATGGTCATTGTATTCCCAGTTACATCTCAGCATGGGTGTGATTATGTCTCTTAAATCCCCTTCAGTTCTTTAAAATAATAACCCTTGTAGACAGATCTCAGCTTTCCATGTTTCTCAAGTTGCTCAGATGCTGTCACTGCTTGTGATGTGGATCATCTTGACTGTGAGGTCCTCTGAGGTTCCCTTGGGAGGCCTGCCCCATAGAGTGACTGACCATGTCCTCGCCACCTCCTGCAGGCCCCTCACTCGGCGTCTCCTCCACGTGTCTCCCGCGAGTGGCAGTCGTGGGCGGTGTGCTCGCAGCGGGCATAGGCGGCAGGCAGCCCCCCGCCCCCAGGGCCCGTGGCGCGTGCCAGATGCTGGTGTAGCTCCAGCGCCTGGCAGGTGGCTGTTCCTGGCCCTCAGGCGCACCTGGATGCCTGATTCGGGGGCTCTTCTGTCCTGAGGAGACACTGGCTTTGGGACGCTGTCTAAAGTGGCATGTTGTGGCTTCAGTGGCCAAGTCTGAACCGTTGTGACCAAAACGCATTTAGGGAATAAGATGAAACTTGGGCCGGGTCTCGCGTTATTAAACAGATTTTTTCTTTTGTGTTCAGTCCACATAGATGCTCATTAGAGGTGGCTGGTTTAAAAGGCTCTGGGCCGGCCTGATTTATCAAACAGTCCACCTGATACCTAGCCCACATTTGACTTGGAAAATCAGGTACCTGCTTAGTTCAGAGTACAAATCCCGTCTGTCTCGTGGGCATGTCTGCACGGGAGGGAGGGGTGACTTACCCATCTGAAGGCAAGATTCTCTCTGTTGCTCTTTAATCCTCTTGACCCAGACGCTCAAATTAAGAGCACAGACTCATTGCGGAGGCTTTTGAACACCCAGCCGGCTCGCGGGCTGCGCTGCAGAGCAAATGAGTGTGTTCACCGAGCTGCTTTTAGCTGAGGTGGCGTAGACCACAGCTCCGTGGGCCCGGGCTTGTTTGCTCCACTCTGGTGAGCACAGCCATGGGGCAGACTTGGGAGTGAGCAGCTCCCAGCGCCAATTTGGAGGCAAGTCAGAACACCGCCGCCGCCTGTCTCTGCACTGCCTTTTGGGGTCACCCTCCCCCGGGAGTCCTGCCCTGGCTCCAGTCTCTGAGTCTGCAGCATCCTGTGCAGCTCTGCCACCCTCGCTGTTGCTTCTCCCCAAGTGTAGACATCCAGGCAAGGCCTGGTTATTGCCAGGGTCTCTCGGCTGGGCCCCGGCACTAAGGCCATCACATTCGAGCCAAGGAGGTGGCTTTCTCCTCATCGAATGGGGTGATGACACCGCTGCTGGGCGTGTCAAAGCATTTGGGCCGTGAGGCAGAAATGGGAGGCTGTGTGGCATCAGCTGTCCCAGGATGTCCTAATCTGATGCACGAGTGTGTGTTCACACCGAGTGTGCGTACTTCCTGTGTTTGTCTCTGCATGGACTCCAGAATTCATGTAGGAATATTGAGGACCTCTTTATTTTGAAACAAGGTCCTTTCTCCTTCCCTTTTCTCCTCTGCTTATTAAAGTTGGAAAAAATCTCAACAACCGTTAATCCAGCTGTCCTCACTTTGTAGAAGGAGAGCAGAGACCCCCAAAGGTAACTCAGCTTGCCCTCAGTCACACAGCGCACTGGCTGGTGGGTGTCAGAGCCAGGGCGAGAGCATGGGGCCTCCACCTCAGCCTGTGTGTCAGCTCTTGTACCCACCTGGTTGACTGGGCATCAGTCTGTCTCTCATTGTGCCGTCTGCCACCCACCGCTTCAGTAGGGGTCAAGGCACAGAATCCACACCTTTGGCCTCTAGCTCAATGGATTTGAAGAGAATGACTCCTGGCTTGTAATCTCTTCCTCCCTCCAGGAGAGCCAGTCTCATCAGAGGGGGAGGGGCGTTCTCTGTGCTGACTGAGCCAAAGGAGAGGAACTAAAGGTTTATCTAAATAACCAGGGGCCAGCCCAGGGGCGTAGCGGTTAAGCGGGCAGGTTCCGCTTTGGAGGCCGGGGGTTCAACGGTTTGACCCCAGGTGCAGACATGGCACTGCTTGGCAAGCCATGCTGTGGTAGGCGTCCCACATATAAAGTGGAGGAAGATGGGCACAGATGTTAGCTCAGGGCCAGTCTTCCTCAGCGAAAAAAAAAGAGGATTGGCAGCAGTTAGCTCAGGGCTAATCTTCCTCAAAAAAAAAGAAAAAAAGATTAAATAACCAGAGGCTCAGTAACCATGACCGACAGCTTCAGCAGTTTCTAGGACTTTAAAGAAACTTTTCAAAATGCCAAAAATTAAGAACCAGTCTTAAATATGCCTTCATTTATTCCAGCAATAGGTTTAATCAGCCCTAAAAGGGACTGTGACATTGATTTGACTGTCTCACGATGCCCTTTAGACTCTCGTGTCCTGACACATCACTCACGTGAGGGGTCCTGGTCTTCCTCAGAGGTCGTCTGTGTCCTCAGGTATCGCAGGATTGCCTTCCCTTTGTATCTCAGCTGTGAGTGATTGGTAAGAGAAGGTGCGTGGGGTACGCCAGAAGGACATTTGTCCCTCAGTTTGACCTGAATATTTGTCTCGTAATAAGGCCATCAGAAATGGCTGAATTCGCTGGAGCAGGAGGACGTTGTCCGTGCGCTTTTCCCTCTGACGTTTGCCAGGGATTTCTCATGCTGGAGTTTCATTGCTGTTGAAACAGCTGTCCATCCCATTTGTTCGCCTGGTTTTCATTTGCTTTGGGCTGCACGGGTTTTTAAAAACTCCCAGAGCTTCCTAGCCATCCGCCACACCAGCTCCCTGTGTTGCTCACAGCTGTTGAACACACGCAGTTGCCTGAGTGCGATCTTGAGTTTCCGGAGGGGAACTCTGTGGGGCTGGGAGATGCACTGTCATTCCTGCCTGCACACACGTGCTGGCCAGGGCCTGGCCTGTCCTCTCGCTGCTCTGGATATTTTGGATAAGTGCGAACATGTGAGCTTACCGTTTGGCCAACCCCAAGGCCCTCTGGGCTTGGGACCCCGGCTGTCACCTAAGTGGACCATTGTCTCAAGAGAGTGCCCAGCCCTGTTCCATCTGGAGGGGCCCTGAGCATCACTGGGTGGCTGGGAGGCCACAGGCTCAGGCGTGTGTGACCAGCGGGCCGCATCGGCGCAGCTCTGGGTGAGCCCTCTCCGGTCGGCTGCAGTTTGCCCGTTATAAAATGAGAGGCTGGACTAGATCGAGGCTTCTCAATGGGGGCAGGCGATTTTGTCCCTCAGGGCACATGCAGCAGTGTCTGGAGGCGTTTTTGGTTGTCACAGTTGGAGGGCACTGCTGATAGCGTCTAGTGGGTAGAGGCCAGGGATGACGCTAAACACCCTTGGGTGCAAGACACCCCCACGATAAAGACTGCCCCGGGCCCAAGTGCAGGTGTGCCACGGTGGAGAAACTCTGGACTAGATGATCTCAGAGGGCCTTTTCAGCCTGTCATGCAGTGATTCTGATTTGCTCACACCCTTGACTGAGCATAGACGCTGGGTGTCTTGTGGCAATTCCATGTTTGACAACTGCAGATGCCTCCTACGCGTCTGCTGAGATCATAGGAGAGTGTCATGTCTGTCGCCTTGTGGGGTCTGAGCCGGACAGCCCAGCGCTGAGTCGTCCGTCTCCGGGACTGATGCTTGGGTTGTCATACATGCAGGCCTGCAGGGCGTGCTGGGAGCAGGTGCTGAGAGTGCCCCCGGGCCCTGCCCAGCAAGCGCCTGGCCAGGGTCTGGTGTCCCTGCGGCATCCTCCTTACCCAGGGGTTTCTGTGGCCTGCAGTTCCTCCGGGTCACGAAGCAGTACCTCCCTCACGTGGCGCGCCTCTGCCTGATCAGCACCTTCCTGGAGGACGGCATCCGCATGTGGTTCCAGTGGAGCGAGCAGCGGGACTACATCGACAGCACCTGGAACTGTGGCTACCTGCTGGCCTCCTCCTTCGTGTTCCTCAACTTGCTTGGACAGCTGAGTGAGTGGCCCTGTGTCAACCCCACGGCCAAAGTGCCGACCATTAGAGGTGGGGAGGCTGCGTGTGAGCTGGAGGTCTCCTAGGACAGTTGTGTGCTCCCCTTGCCTCCTTTCCAGGGCAGCCTGCCAGGCCTGGGCGTTGGTTCTGCAAGCATCTGGGTGGTGCTGTGTGTTCAGCCCTGGGCTAAGGATACAGTCCCTGCTTTTAAGGGCCTGGAGCAGGAGATGGTGGCCACTGGGCGACCTGGCTGGGCCAGTGTGGGGCCCAGGCAGCCAAAAAGAGAGGTTTCTGGGAAGTATCAATAGAGGTGAACAGGACGGAGAGCGTTAGGCTGGCACGTGGCACGTGTTGGCCTCGTTGTCCTGCTCTTGACCACCGTCTTCTGGTGGCAGTCCCCCCTCCTGTACACATGGGGCAGGAAGGGGACTTGCGCTTCTCAGCCGTCCTGAAGCTCTCCACAGCAGAGCCTCTGACGGACAGCCCACTCTGGGAGATGGCCCGTTCTCTGCAGCAAGGGATCCACTTAGAAGCCCAGTGCTTTTGATACGTCAGGTCCGGTTGACTCTTGTGTGGTCGTGCCTATCGCTAGTTCTCCCAGAAGTTGCTTTTTGCTTGGGGTAGCCAGTTGGGCTGCTGCTGCACCAGAAGGCCAGGTGAGCTGCAGGTGCTGTGGCTGTGTCCCCTGACCTGTGCCCTCTCCTTTCTAGCTGGCTGCATCCTGGTGCTGAGCAGGAACTTCGTGCAGTACGCCTGCTTCGGGCTCTTCGGAATCATCGCGCTGCAGGTAGACACGGCGTGGTGGGGGCCTCGCTGTTCCTGCCTCCGGCTGGAGCAGAGCCGGAAAGGCATTGTGAGGACTCAGCATCTCGCCCCTGCGGTCCTCTGTGTCTCTGCCTGGAACCCATCTTCCCTTCTGAGAAATCACTCGATTTTCCTCAGGGCAAGCTCAGGAGAAGTGGGCAGCCAAGCGGGCTGGAGAGGATGGTGCCCAAGCAGGGGCCAAGCTCTGGGAACTGGGCCCACCTTTTGCCACTTCTCTGAGTTTCCTTTGACAAGGAGGCAAATCACAGGTTTGGCCACAGCCAGGAAACTATCTTGTTATCGTTTTACTTCATAAAGAAGAATACCCAGCCCTTCAGATGAAATGTTTAACGCATGACATTTCAGTCTAGATTGGTGGTGTCAGCCCACCGTGTTCTCCAAGCACCTGGGGCACAGCTGCCATCGAGCGGGTGCTTGATGAGCAGGGCCGGGGCCCCCCCTGCATGCTCTGGGACATGCGGAGCCGAGCTGCTGACCTTGCACCTGTCATCAGTGTCCTAACGTGGTTTTGTGTATCTTCTCTTCTCACTTATATTGGAAAAATTGCCTAATGCTATTAGTTCTATAGAAATAGAAATTCTTTTGAAAATGCTGGGACTCAAGTTTCTCTCTCCTGTGTTCCCTTCAGACAATTGCCTACAGCATTTTATGGGACTTGAAGTTTCTGATGAGGTAGGTGCGTCCTGGTTGGTGAGTTTAGTGTGCTTTCCTCATGTCTCTAAACTTTAGTAACTGTCGGTTGGAATAAACTTCTTTGGGTCCAAACTGCGCTTCTTAGACTCTGTAGTGGATACTGGCAGAACCTTGTCCGCCCCACCCAGGGCGCCTAGAGCACTAGTTAGAAAGCAGTCTCCTCTCCCGACTCCACGTTTCATGAGGTCAGGAGCGGGTCCCAGTGAAAACACGCTTGCTCACAGGCACCCAGCTGGTCCACAGTAAAGCCGAGACTAGGTCTGGATTCCACATGTGTTCAGATTCCCCGTCACGGTTTGGGGTGAGGACACACCTGTGTCTTCAGTCCTGTAAGGCTTTGTGTGGGTGTGACCTGGGTCTGTGCTCCTGTTGACTCAGGCCCGCCTGGTCCTGCTTGGAGCGTGGAGTGAGGGATGTGCTTGCGGCAGGGTGTCCCCATCTGGTCTGACGGGCACTTGTAGTGCCCCATGAGCCTTAGCGAATTTCTCTTCCTCAGGAACCTGGCTCTGGGAGGAGGCTTGTTGCTGCTCTTGGCGGAGTCCCGGTCTGAGGGGAAGAGCATGTTCGCGGGCGTCCCCACCATGCGCGAGAGCTCCCCCAAACAGTACATGCAGCTCGGAGGCAGGGTCCTGCTGGTCCTGATGTTCATGACCCTCCTTCACTTTGATGCCAGCTTCTTCTCGGTAAGTATTCCAGCTTGCTTACTCGATTCTGGTCTCCTGTCCTAGAACGGGTGCCGCCTCTCCCAGCTCTGCCCCCTCTCTTTCCTCGCTGTGTACTAAGCATAGCCAAGGGGCCACTGGAATGAGTTGGCTCAAAGGAAGCAAACCTTTTGATCCTATTAAAAGAAACAGAAGACTGTCAAGCTCTTGTATGCCAAGAAGCTGCCTTTCCGACAAATTAAGTCCCGAATTTCCCTGACCTCGCTGGAAGACCCTGGTGCCCAGTGTGCTGGCTCTCCAGGCTGTTGACCAAGATTCACTACAAAGATTCCTCTTATTCTTTCCTTCCTTCCATGTGTACCTTTTTCGTGTCCTTTTTTTTTTTTTTTGAGGAAGATTAGCCCTGAGCTAACTACTGCCAATCCTCCTCTTTTTGCTGAGGAAGACTGGCCCTGAGCTAATATCTATGCCCATCTTCCTCTACTTTATACATGGGACGCCTACCACAGCATGGCTTTTGCCAAGTGGTGCCATGTCCGCACCCGAGATCCAAACCGGCAAACCCCGGGCTGCTGAGAAGTGGAACGTGCACACTTAACCGAACGTGCAAACTTAACTGCTGCACCACTGGGCTGGCCCGTTTCATGTACTTTTTGCATGCCAGGTATTGGGGTGCAGAGTTGAAGAAGGTTCTGTCCTGGACCCCAGGAGCTTACGGAGCATGTCTTTATCTGACTGCACCCTGGCCAGGCAGTGTTCCCAGGAGGGGCTCCTGGTGCTTGGGGAGGGGAGAGGTGGGTTCTGAGAAGCTCTGGGGAGTGTTGCTCTGGCTTAGAGGTCCACCAGCGTCTTGGTAGATCACAGCCTGTTAATTGGAGATTTGCTTTTCATCTTCTCCAGACCTTTTCTGCCTCAAAGTGCTGCTTTACCTGTTGCTCCCACCATTTCCCATTTTTATCCTCCACTTGTAATGCAGCCTCCAGCTGAAGCAGCCGCCTCTCCACACATCCCCTAGGTGCATACCCTGGCACAGATACTTCAGTGACACGGGGCAGGGGAACTTGCCTGTTGATAAAATACTCTATGTCTCTTCTTCCTCGCATTTACTTTGAATTTCTTACCTTTCAACCTACACAGATTCTCCAGAACATCGTGGGCACAGCTCTGATGATTTTAGTGGCCGTTGGTTTTAAGACCAAGCTGGCCGCTCTGACTCTTGTCGTCTGGCTGTTTGCCATCAACGTGTACTTCAACGCCTTCTGGACCATTCCCGTCTATAAGCCCATGCACGACTTCCTGAAGTACGACTTCTTCCAGACCATGTCAGTGATTGGAGGCTTGCTCCTGGTGGTGGCTCTGGGCCCTGGGGGCGTCTCCATGGATGAGAAGAAGAAAGAGTGGTAACAGACCCCTTCCCTGCCTGGCTAAGACCCGTAGCCGTCGAGGACTGGTTCGGGGTGGATTCGCCAGAACTGCCAGCATTTATGTATCCTCTTCCCTTCCCTCCCTTGGTAAAGGCACAGATGTTTTGAGAACTTTATTTGCAGGCACCTGAAAATTGATGGCTAACTCTGCTCTGGACCCATCCCCTGGCATCTGAGCATTCAGAGCCGGCTGGCCGGTGGCACCTCCTCCCCACCAGTGAGGCCTCGGCTTCGAGGGGTGAGCAGTGTGGTGGCGTGGCCTCTCAGTCCTCTTTTGATTTCTCTTTTTTGGGGGGTGGGGGGTCTTCAAGCTGTACTGTGAGCAGGTACATCTGTGTATCATTCAAAGCAGTCTCCCTCTTTATTGTTTTTTTTAAAGTTTATGTTTTTAGCTAAAACTACTAAAAGATTTGGGATGGCCCAGCCAAACATGAAACACTGTCAAACTCCCTGGTTTAATACTGCACCAGTGGCTTCCACACTGTTTCTGCCCTGCGTTATAATATCTTATGGGGACAGCGAAAACCTGTGAGAGAAACCCAAAACCCAAGGAATGAGGCAGTATTAGAGGGGCAACTGAGGCTGCTGTTTATGGTAAAAGTCATTAATCAGAAAGTTGTCTTGGACTGGTGCATAATTTTTTATGGGGTAATACCCCGGGAGCTTTAGCGGCTCATGGTCTGGACGGAGGAGCTAGGAGTCCTCGGGGATGCCACCCAGAGCTCGCAGGGACCCGCACGCCGACCAGGGTCTGGCTGCATGCCTGCAAGTTGGTCTCGGCTGCTCCTGTGGGTCCAGCTTAGGAGGAGCAGCCACCAATGTGGGCAGGGCAGTGACGGCGGGCTCTCAGACCAGTTACCTCACACCTGACCTTTCCGCAGAGCCACGGCCAACACCGTGGGCAGAGCGCCGACCTGGCTGAGTGCCCCGCCTGGCTTTCCTTTGGCTGGAGGGATTTCTCCCAGGCTGCGCAGCCATGACTTACATTTTCACGAGGCTGTTGCTTGCTTAGATTGTCTGTTTGCTATGCTGAATGCAGCCCAAATTACTTTTTACAATTTGTGATGCCTTACCGATTGGATCTTTATGCTGTATTTAAAGTTTTCTAACATTGCCTTATACTGCGTTTCTCTTCTTGGGGGGTGTGAGTGCTTGTGGCTGTTCTCCACTTGTCTGCGTTGTAGCGGATGCCATGAGGGGAGAGTCGGAACATCTCTGCCTCCCACTAGTCCTGCGCCCAGATCCTTCTTGGGGGCAGACTGACTTGGTGAGGCTGACCAAACTCAGAATGGGGACTTCCTTGGAGCTGGTCTTCTCTGGTTTTGTCAGCTAGGTGTGCAAGCCTGGGGTCCGTCCCCGGGCCGCTGGGAGCCAGGGTGAGGCGGGGAGCCCCATGCCCTGGTTGGCTGCATACAGCAGGGCTGAGGCCAGCTTTGCCCACCAGTGCTCTTAGGACCCTCCCTGGCTCTGCACCCGGACCCCCTAATCTGAGGGGAGTGGTGGCACACCTTTCAACACCCCACCTTGTGACCCAGCCCCAGTGGAGGCACCTCCCAAGACGTTCCTCAGCCCTCCCCCGAAGGCCTGCTTCCCTGCTCCCCTCGTATTTATAAGGTGAAGCAACGGCTTAAGGACAGAGGGCTTTTCTGTTTCACTCAATGCTCACTACGTGAAGGGCAGTTTCTGACTCAGTGTTTCCACCCCAGCAGGGCAGTCTCTTGGTCTACACCCCCTTCCCCATTAACACAGCCTCACAGCCCCGTGGAATGACACTCAGCCAACTCACAGTTTCTCTGTGGCACTGCTTTTGGCAGGGTACGGGTCCTCCTTGGCCCTGGCTCAGAAGACCTGTCGGTTTATGGAAACTCGGATTGACCCCAGGAGGCTGAGGGTCCCCACTGACAGTCACCCGGGATGCTGGAGGTTGTCCCCGCCTCCCCTGGCCTTGAGTGGGCTAGTGCCTGTGATGGGGGTAGATGCCTTTGTGGGGAGGAGAGAAGAATATGCTCTAATTGGTTTGGCAAAACAATTTCTGAAAATTTTTTTGCTTTATGTGGGAAATAGGTATAAATCTCATTTTATGCTGTATTTTATATCTTAGTTGTGTTTGAAACGTTTTGATTTTTGGAAACACATCAAAATAAATAATGGCATTTGTTGTATGCAGTGTGATCCTCTGGTGTTGTCCAGCCAGGGTGGGGCCCAGCCTGGGCTCCCCTTGGGATCTGCAGGGAGCCAGGCAGACTCTCTTGGCTTCACTGAGGACCACTTAGAAACCACATCCAGCCAGAATCCTTCCTGAGTGTGGGGGATGGGACCCTGACATCTGCAGGACAGACCTCCAGCCCTGCCTTTGGGGACAGCAAACGAGGAGTGGATGGAGAAGACCCTGGGACACCCTGACATTGAGAGGACGCGTGGCGGACAGCCTGAATAGGAACACAAGGGGGAAATGGCTGAAGGATTCTCCAAAGGTTGTCAAGATGCCTTCTCTCCAGCAATCTTTTATTAACCCGACTGTTTAAACGATCTGAAGCTCCTCGGTTTGCAGTGATGACTCTTGAACTTCTTGGAGGAGCGCAACTGCTTCTGTGGCATGAACAGAGAATTCCGGTCAGTGGAGCCTTCCCGACCCAAGATGAAGGTGGTCTGAGTCCATGGCCCCCCAGTCTGCACAGACAGGTTTTAGCTGGAAGCTCCTGGGTCAGCTTTCTGCCCATGGCTCCTGTTACAGCTGCGGGCCTCCATGGTGACTCTGTAGAGCCCCTTAACGGCAGCACCTCCAATCCCCAACCTTACAACAAAGACCCTGATCTATTTTGGTCACGATCCTGCTTCTCTACCAAAGGGGACAAAATCTCCACTCCTGCCCTGATGGCGAGTGCTGTCTGAAGTCGAGCCCCTTCAGGTTCCTGTGTTGCAAACGGGCAGTCGTCCTACAGACCAGCGGTCTTGAACCTGCTCTGTGCTGGTGCAAACCAGGAAGCAGTCCCCCGCCAGCCCCCATCAGAGCAGTCCCGGCTCCTGTCTTACTTGTGTATTGTCAACTTGGGATTTTATTTGCAGAAAAGGTTTTTTAAAAAACTTTTTCTGAAGAAATTGAAAATCACTAGAGGCAGCTGCTGCTGTGCTGGCAGCCCTGGAGGTACCGCTCACCTTCCGGCGCTTGAGGACTGGCTCCCGGTCCACTTCCATCTCCTCTCTGTCCTCCTTCTCTCTTGGGTGCCTTGGGTTCTTATCCTCATCTGTCAAAAAGTCATCAGTGTTGTCTCCGTGCTCAGTCCCTCCCACGTTCTTTCTGGTGAACAGCTCGGCTGGAAGGAATAGAGGGATGGGCTGTTATAGGTTGAGTTCACGCCCATGTAAGGGGCGAAGTGGGAGAGCGATCAGCCTGGGCCCAGGGCTGGAGGACACAGCGGGAGGCAGGAGCAGGCCAGAGCCCTCTCGCTGCTGGTAGGAAATGGACTGGACGGCCAAAACCCAAACCCATGGAGGAGGAAGGAGGGGGGACACATTCCCACTTACGTGGGTACAGGTCTGTCATGCTGTCGTCACTGTCACTTGGGGCTGCACCATCCTCATCACTGGACTCAGGTTCCCAGAAGGCTTCTCTGGGGCGAGGTTGGCCGTCACTGTCCACCTGGCCTTCCCTCCTCCTCCTCTTGTGCAGGAGGCAGGCGGGCACGTACTCCACACCCTGCTCCTGGCACTCTGCATCTGGGAGACAGGCCAGCACATTGCCCAGTCCTCCCTAGTCCTCTGGGCCCCCACACCGCCCTACTGGGGACAGTCAGTGGTGGCAGGTAAGTGCCATTGGCTCAGTTCCTGCCGGGAGGAGGGAGGCTAACACGGGTGCGGCCAAGGCGCAGGAAGATGCTGGAGGTTCTGTCGGGCCTCTGGCACCAGCCAGGCTCCGTGAAGCAGTGACCGGGAGGGCGCTGAGCGGGCAGACTCAAGTGCAGCTTGGCACGGAAGCCATATTGACTTGTCACCAGGAGACTGAAGTCCCCTCTCAGGCATGGTGGCCAGGACCTGACCCTGGGTGGTAGGGCTCAGTGGAAGTTGGAACCCAGCCTTGCTGACCCTTGGCTGGGGGCAGAGGGACCAGGATGAGGCTTCCATGGAAGGACCTCTCTGAAGCCACACTGTCTCCTCCAGCAGCACTGAGGACTCAGAGCCTGGTGGGGGTGCTCACTGACCCCTGGTGAGGAAGAGGGCAGCGTGGAGGGGCCAGGCTGCTAGAGCTTGCCCTCCTTCAGCACGGGCCTCTCCAGTGCAGTGCAGCTCCCTCAAGGGAAGAGGGGGTGAGAGGGGAGCTGGCTCTCACTGTCCCCCAACTCCTGCCATCATCCCTCATGGGGTGGATGAGCCCTGCTGGGCCCTGACCTCAGATGTCATTGCCCACTTCTGCCCACCTCTGTACCCCTAGCCCCTGCTTCATCTCTGCCACCCACTCTGGCCCACAGTAGCCTCGTCCCCACCAGAACCCGCATACGGCATCTCCGCACAGCGCCGTCAGCCAGGTCCCTTACCGCCATGCTCCAACTCCTCCAGACCACTGCCGAAGTGGCCTCACCACCTCGTCCTGTCTCAGCTCCACGGCCCAGCACTGTCATTACTCTCTTAGGGGGAACCCCAGCCCAGGCCGTCCCCTAGCTCCTTCCTGCCCACCCCCAGCACTGAACATGGCTGGAGAAAACCAAATTCCCAGGCTCTGGGCCTGTGCGGGATCTCCACAAGGTGCCCAGGAAATGGGTGTCGTGCCTCCTCAATCCTCCACTTTCACCCTCAGGTGAAGACCTGGCTCCATTTCTTCATGGGGAAATAAAGCCTTTGGACTTCGCATGTTCCCGGCACCAAACCCACAAGACTGTGCCCTCATCCCAGCCCTCCCTCCCCCTGCCTCAGGGCTAGTCTACTGCCCCATTCTAGCCTGGCTCTGTCCCCACCATGCCACGTCAGCTGCCTTTGTCAAATCTCAAAGTCACTTTTCTGTCCTTATCTTCCCTTCAGTAACATTTGATGAGTCTCCCACTTGCTCCTTGAAACTCCTCGGTCTCAGACATCGCTCCAGCCGGTTCCTTCTCACTGTCCTGGGGCTCCTCCGTGCTCAGGCCCAGCCCTGGCCCTTTTCACCTGGCTCCATGGACACAAATGCCATCTCGGTGTCGATGACTCCATCATCTGAGTGCTGGCCCAGGCTTTCAATAGCCACCCTCCCTGATATGCCTCCGATTAAAATGTTTGAAGGGACTTCTAGTTTTCCCCCACAAAGCCTATCATCCAGACTCACGTTCCTAACTTCATGCTGCGTCATCCACAGATGCTCAAGCCAGCAACTTGGGGATCACAGTTGACTTCTTCCTCTCCCCCCTCCCCTCCTCTACCGATTCTATCAACAAAACAGCTAAACCCGTCCAGGTCCTTCCATCTTCCCTGCCAACACCTGGTAACCCATTGGGTCAGCAACCCAGCCACCATCGCCTTGACCTGGGTGACTGCACAGCCAGGGTGCCCCTCCCCCTCCAGGCAGGAACAATCTTGAGACACAAACCTATCCTTCTCTGTCCCTGCTATAAGCCCTTCAACACATCCCCCTGCACGTGCTCCTGACCATGCCCTCCAGGACCCTCTGTTCTCATTCCTCCTTGACTTCCTAACCCCACCTTGCACAGTGGCACAATGGCCATCCTTCAGAACCTCCCACAGCCCAGCGTTTTTCTACCTCAGACCTCGCCCGGACTCTTTCCTCTACCTGGAGCACTCTCGCCCCCACTCTGCAAGTTCCTCAAATCTCAATCTAAAAAGAAACTCTCAGAGAGCCCTTCCCAGGCCTCCTGTGTAGGGCAGGGCAGGCCCGCCTGGTTCCGGTGCCGTTCCCTCCTCAGCACTCACACAACCTGCAGGTACTTGGGAGTCAGCTTCCCGCTTTGCACTTGTCTCAACCATCGTCCCTCTCTTCACTGCACTGGACCGGCTGGTGCATCCATGCTGAGGCATGACCGAGACGCCACTTCTGCCTTCTAGGGATGCACATCCTGGGCAGGCTGGGTCCCACCACAGCTACTTACATTTACGCAGAGCTCTCTGGTACCGCCGGCCCTGGGTATGCCTCAGCACATGCTCCGGGGACTTGTTGATGTGACGCAGGGTGAGTTTGCAGAACAGCTGGTGCCTAAGGGGCAAGGAGACCTGGTTTGCAGGGACAGTCGACAAGCAAGGATCCAAACCAGTGGGTCGCCACCATGGCTGCATCTTGGAATCACCCCCAGAGGGTCTGACAGGGGAGGTCTACAATGTGGCCTGGGCATCGGGATTCTTAAAAGTTCCCAGGCAATTCCACTCTGCAGCCAGGGTGGAGAACCACTGAGCCACATTGACCGTGGCCTCCCCATCCTCCCCAAAAGGCCCCAGCATGAGAATGCACGTCGAAGACTTAGCCTGGGGAAGTGCTCGATAAAGGACATGCGCCATCGCCCTCTCAATTTTGACTACTACTGTCAACCGCACACTCAGATAAACCAAGCTCTCCTGTAGAGGCGTGAAGCTGACCCAGCACCAGCGCTCGGATCCCACACGAAGCCAACAGGCCCAGCGCTTACGAAAAAGCACACGCGCCCCGGGACGGGCCTCGCCCGAAGTCCGGGTGACATAGCGCCAGGATGCCCGCCTGGATCCGAATCTAACTCACGGGGAGGTGGGCCTGCAGACCCCGCGTGTCCTTGAGGAGCGCCCGCCCAGAGCGGAGGGGTCGGGCTTCGGAGTCCACCGCGTAGCAGCGGCCACACTCCGCGCTGGAACTGTCCCCACCCGTGGCCCCCACGGCGCCGGGCCCGCCCCGCCCACGTACGGGTTCTTGGTGCTGGGCACGATGTGCGGCTCGAACGCGGCGTAGTCAAAGGCCGGGGAGGCGCGAATCAGCCTCTGGTACTTCTTGCCGCGGGTGTAGACCTGGAGCTCGGGCAGGCGGCAAGGCAGCTCGTGGCCGGTCAGAGTGCACCTCACCTGCGGGCGGGTGCAGCGGTCAGCGGGGGTGCCAGGGGCGTGAGGGGGTCCCTGGGGTGGTGAGGGGGCCCTGGGGCGGCCGGGGAGTCCCGGGGGCGGTGAGGGGTCTGGGGCGGCCGGGGAGTCGCGGGGGCGGTGAGGGGTTCGGGGCGGCCGGGGTCCCCGCGGACCTTGCGGGCGCCGGGCTCCAGCCGCAGGCTCGGGTGCTCGCGCAGGAAGGCGCACACGTCCGCCGGAGGCTCGCTCATGGCTCGGCCGCCAGCGGAGCTAGAGTGGGCGCTGCTCGGACTACGTGAGGCCGGGGGCGGGGCGCGGGGCGGGGCTCGGCGGCGCCCCGGAAGCAGATGCTGCCCGCGCCCCGGAAGCGCCCGCGCGCCAGCGGGGCGATGGCGGCTGTGCTGTGGCTGGGGCCGCGGGCGGCGGAGCTGGGGCGGCTGCTGCGCGCGGCGGGCGCGGGGCGGGTGAGCGGAGCGGGGCGGGGCTTGGGGAGGCCGGGCTGGAGGCCGGGCGGGGGGCTCGGGCGGGCTGGGGGCCGCGCCCGGCCTGGACGAGCTCACCCCGCCCCTCGCGTCTCCGTAGGCCCCGGCCCGCGCGGTCAGGAGCGTCCTTGCGGCCCCCGCGCGCCCAGGTGAGGACCCGTCGCGGGGCGACCCAGGCCCTGGGGAAAACCCCCTGTCGCCGAGCTCCTCCTCGCGGGGCCGTCCGCACCGAGAGCTCTCACTGCCGCCCGCCCGCCGGGTGATGCTCGGTGCCTCCCGATGGAGTCTCGAGGGCACGCGGCCTCGCGACAGCCCGGGGCTGGTGCCTCGGGCACTCTGGGTCGCACACGCGGCCGGAGACGCCACCTTCGCAACGTCTGTCGGACTCACGAGGGGCCAGCCCCAGTGGGATCCTTGAAAGCACATCTGATCCCCACAGCTTGCATGTTGCCTCGATGCGCAGCGAGGGTGTTGTGGTGCGTGTAGAGTACTGTGCAAAAGAGCTCCAGGCCCGCGTCTTACCTCCCACGAGGCCCACGATGCTTTCGGTCGGTGGGACTCCCCCTCTGAGAGCTTGAAGGCACTTTGTGTGTACACTGCTCCGTCTGTACGTTTATGAGCAACGAAAAAGAGAGGCTGTTAAGGGAGCTGCATAAACCACTGTCTGAATTTGGGTCACGTTGCTGTCTTCACAGCACAGCAGCTAGGACCGGTGCACCGTGGTGCAGTAGAATGCATCTCAGTGTACTGTTGTGTAAAAGGCATGAGGTGTTTACATGAACTACCCAGGGTCATGATTGGTGGTATAGCCAGAACCAAGCCCTGGGACTCATTTATTCAGTCAACAAACATCCACTGAGTGTGTGCCATGTGCCAGCGACTGGGTTAGGAGCTGGGCTGGACACAGGTGCTGCTAGTCGGCTCCTGCCTGCAGGCTGTGGTCTGTTCACTCCTCCTCTCCCACATTCGCTCGGGCAAAATTGGTGAAGTCTTGAAAATTGACTGCTCCAGTTCTTTTGTTCTGGGGCTTCTGAGCCCATGCCAGTGTTGTAAATCTTTCTAGGGTTGGCCTGGAGGCCAAGCAGGTGTGGCAGTTCCACAGCCGAAGCACCTGCCACAAAAGCAGAAGACGACTCCTTTCTCCAGTGGTTCCTGCTTCTCATTCCTGTGACTGCGTTTGGCCTGGGGACGTGGCAGGTAAAGACTGGCCTCTTGCTCTGGTGGGTCTGAGCCCTTGACCCTGCTGCCATCTGCTCGGCCTTATGGTCTGTTTCTGTAGGTCCAGCGTCGGAAATGGAAGCTGAAGCTGATTGCAGAGCTAGAGTCTAGAGTTATGGCCGAGCCCATCCCTCTGCCAGCAGAGTGAGTGTGTGTATGGCTGTCCCCCGGGGCTGGTCTCACTTGAGGTCAGCAGTGGGGCCTGGCTTCGGCTTGCCGTCCTGACCCTCAGACGGGAGCCCTCAAGATCAGCCGTACTGTGGAGTTTCCTGGTGACCCCTGACCACCCTCGGGAAGCTGGCTAATGTATATAGAAAAGTCTTACCTCCGATCCTGGGTTTTACTCGTGCACATCTAGTGTACCCAAGGGCCCCTTGTGGCAGTCATTCTTAGCTGGTGGGTGAGGGCAGATGCTCTAATGTCATGTCTTGACACCAGAGTGGCATTTTGAAAAAGTGCCCCCAACGATTCTCCTGCCCTCCCACGATTTGAAAGCACGGCCCGAGAGAGAGATGTAGTCAACAGAGCGAGCCGTTCGTGGGAGCCGAGATGCCTGCCATACTTGGCTTGCAGATGGGTTTTGGCCCATGTATTTTATTAAGTTCCCAGAGCAGTTCACATTGCAGCACAGATCCACATTGCCACTTGGCATCAAATGGGTCAGCTTCTCCGTTTGGAGGGCATGCCCTGCTGTCCCCACTGTGCCTGTGTCACCTTCTAGTTACTTCACAGGCCTCAGGGGCTTTGTGGTTTTCAGCCCTGAGGTTTGTCTTCACAAACCTCACTCCACGTCTTCCCTCTCCATGTAGCCCAATGGAACTGAAAAATCTGGAATACAGGCCAGTGAAGGTCAGGGGGCACTTTGACCACTCCAAGGAGCTGTACATGATGCCAAGGACCATGGTGGACCCTGCCCGGGAGGCCCGGGAAGCTGGCCGGCTCTCCTCCTCACCTGAGAGCGGTGCCTACGTGGTCACCCCCTTCCACTGCACTGACCTGGGGTGAGTAGGCGTGCAGGGGCTGACTGGACTGCCAGGTGCAGTTGGGGTACACTCACTTTCATCCTTCTCAACCCCCAACTTTGGTAAGTCCTGGGACATCCAAGATACTCAGAAAGGTTCAGTTCCTTGATTTGAAATTTACAATTCTGACATTAAGCCAATTCATTTATTTCTGAACAACTCTTGTATGTTAAACTCTGAAGGAGGAGAGGTGAATGGCCATTATGAATACATTATGGTGCAGCATGAGGGGCTAGCAAGACAAACTCAAGAGAAAGGAACCCTCCCGCTCTGCCTGGTGGGATTTGAGTCAGGGAAGGCTTCCCAGGGGGCTATTTGGGCCAAACCTGGAATGAAAAGATGGGAAGAGCATTCCAGGGGAAGGAAATGATATCGACAGTAGGGGGCACTGCAAGGTGGGTGACTAGAGCAGCTTCCCAAATGTTAACGCCCAAGTGAAGCCTCAGGGCCTTGTCAGCCCACAGCTTCCTGGTTTTAGGTCTGGGTTGGGTGGCAGTGCTGTCTCTCTAGTGGGCTGACTGATGTGTGCCAGGCCGCTCCCCAGTCAGGGGAGATGGGAGGCAGGTGCACGAGGCAAACACTGCCCTAGTTAAGGGAGAGGTGGGCGTCTGACCTCTGGCACTGTGGTGTTGGTCACAGGTTGCTTGTTGCAGTGGGCGAGGCAGAAGAGAGGAGGGGGGAGCTTTTAGCCATCAGGCCCCATGCACAGGGGAAGACGTTCCCAATGGCACCCCCACAGCTAGTCTCCACTGGGTCCTGTTTGAACCCTTGCCTGCTCCTGTCCTTGTTCCTGAAGATGCCGGGGCAAACATTAATAATCTTTATTCACAAACCCTTCACCTGAAGTGCAACTTTCATTACTCCAGAATCACCATCCTGGTCAACAGAGGGTTTGTCCCCAGGAAAAAGGTGAATCCAGAGACACGGCAGAAAGGCCAGGTAGGGGCGGGGGAACCCTCCCTTCCCTCTGGTGCGCAGGGCCCTGTGGAAGCCGTCGTCTCCATGCAGGGCCCTGAGAGCAATCTCACGCCTTCCTTTCCTTTCCAGATTGAGGGAGAAGTGGACCTAGTCGGGATGGTGAGGCTGACAGAAACCAGGAAGCCCTTTGTCCCTGAGAACAATCCAGAAAGGAACCACTGGCATTACCGGGACCTGGAGGCCATGGCCAGGCTCACAGGCACAGACCCCATTTTCATTGATGCTGACTTCCGTACGTTGTGGCCAGACCACCCCAGAAGACCAAGTAGCTTTTGTAAACACCCTGGTTCTACCTTCCTCTTAACCCTGGACACCAACCAGTTGCTTCCATTCTGTGTGAGGGAGGGGTGACAGAGGGCAGCACTGGGGGCTGGTTGGTTTCAGGTAAAAGGCCTTACTGGTGTGACTTGAAATTGGCTGTTCAAAACTGACTGCTCTAGGAAAGAGCTATGAAAGGTTCCAGGAAACCAGCTGGCCATTTAAGTGCCAAGAAGCTGGTGGCACAAGAAATCGAGGACTGAGCCCACTGTCTCTGCAGAAAGCACAGTCCCGGGAGGACCCGTTGGAGGGCAAACCAGAGTCACTCTGAGGAACGAGCACATGCAGTACATCATCACCTGGTGAGTCCCGTCCCCCCCCGCCGCTCCCCCGCTTTTCCCCTCAGAGCCCTGACAGCATTCACCTTCCGCCCCAGGTACGGACTGTGTGCAGCTACATCATACCTATGGTTTAAGAAATTCCTGCGTCGGACTCCTGGCATGTGATGAGATTAACTGATATAGCACTGTCCCTAATTAATTAGGAAGTTGCCGAGTAAGCATTATTTCAAGAGATTTGGGGTTATGTGGCGTCATGTAGTATTGGTATAAATAAAGCCCTACACTACCTATGTTGTGCCTTCTTTCCCATGTGTCTAAATGAGCCAGCCAGCTGGTTGATCATAAACTCCAGGCTTGGTTCAAAATACCCAAGTACTACATAGGACCAAACAGTTTAAGACCGCTTTTTCACAATGAGACCGACAACTCCCACCCTACGTGGGAGAAGGACCTTGAGTCTGAAAACATAGCCACGACCCAAAAATGCACAGTTGACACTGACTGAAGAAGAGTTTTTATTACTTATGTACAGAAAACTCAACTGCATGCGCTCAGCTCAGCCCAGCTTGGTGGCCAGTTCTTTAGCCTTTGCCTTCTCTAGCTTGGCGATGCGAGCCACCGATTTTGGACCCAGGACGTTGCCTCCCCAGTGACGGCGGATCTGCAAAAGAAAGGCAGTCAGCCTGGCCTGTGGTTTTCTGAGGCTTTCAAAGCACCCTCGACCTTGCTGTTCTAGCCAAACAACTGCTCAGAAAGAGTTCCGAGCCAGCCAGTCCTGTGATGAAAGGCTGGACTTCCCCAAGACAGTTAACGTAAAGCTGCTCCTTACCTCGTCGTATCTGTCGTTGTAGTTGGTCCTGATAGCTTCCACCAGCTTGGCCAGAGCTCCTTTGTCTTCCCTAATGGGGCAGGAGGGAAAATGTGGGTCAGCGGCCTTCCAAAAGCAGGAATGCCTTCATTTTAGCTCCAAACAAGACTTTTGCCTCAGATACAAAATGGCCACATGGTTTATTCAGGTGAAGAAATTCGCAACCATCACCGGCAAAGGCTCAGACAATGTGCTCCCTTCTTACAGGCCACACGCTCTAGCTTAGACGTTAGCTTTGGGCTGCCCCTACGTACGAGTTGACTTGTGTGAAGGCGACGGTGGTGCAGGTCTTCCTGTGGACCAGACGCCCCAGCCGCGCCTTGCCCTTGATGATGCAGTAGGGCACCCCCATCTTCCGACACAGGGCAGGGAGGAAGACGACCAGCTGGAAGACACCGTTAGCTCTAGGCTATATTCTCATTAAAAACAGTAATTTAAATGCTAGCTTGGTAGCAATTGCTCAGGGTTAAAAAGCTCATGTGTTTGCACTTCACGGTTTAATTCAGTGAAAAACTCACATCATCGCAAGAGCCATGATTTGATCCCTTGTCAGTACTGACAGTCCTGGTCACCCCACCTTGGCCTACGGTGCCAGGCTCAGTATTTAGCTTAACTGTATCTTCCCCATATCAATGCAAAGACAATCTAAGTGTAGGAACCAATGGCTGAAAAAGCAGCCAAACGTACCTCGATGGGATCCACGTCGTGCGCGATCACTACCAGCTGAGCCTTCTTGTTCTCCACCAAGGTGGTGACAGTATTGACCCCTAGAACACACAGCCAGCTTGCATGAGCACGGGGGTGTTGTGTGTGCACGTGTGGTGCGTCTGGGCCCAACTATGACTCAGGGTTAAAAAGCTCGGATTTTACTCTTCACGGTGATTCCAGGTGAAGAAATTCATGCATCATCGCCAACAGCCTGCCCGCGTGCACCCTGTGAGGAGGGGCCCACTCACCTGCTCGAAGGACCGGTGGCCTCTTAGTGGGGACATCCCCTTTGCCAGCAGCCTTCTTCTCAGCCCGGGCCAGCAGCCTCTGCTTCTTCTCTTGCTTTGTCTCTGGCCTGTACTTGTGGGCCAGCTTGAGCAGCTGAGTAGCTGTAGAAACAGCCAGTTTAGACATGCAGTTCAAGCTCTGATCTTTATCACTCAACGTAATTAACGCTAGATCTGTGTCCTGACTGTGCTATTTGCAGTTGAGAAATCCTCGAGCCACGAACGTAATCGCTTCGCTTAGGCTACCTTCACCTTCCGAAAGCTGGGGGACTCGTCTTAATGAACCCATCTGCTTGAAAATGCCCACCGCCCTCGCAAGGCCTCGCATCCAGCAGGGTCCGTGCCGCGCAGCACCTCACCTGTCTGGCGGTCCAGGGCCTGGGTGAACTGGTTGATCGCGGGAGGCACCTTGAGCCGCTTATAGAGGATCGCCCTCTGTCGCTGCAGCCGGATGTAGCGGGGCCATTTGACGAAGCGGGTGAGGTCCCGTTTGGGCTGGATGTCCTGTCCTGGGAAGCACAGGGCAACGCCGTGAGAGGCTCGCGCTCCCCACGCTCGCGGCCAGGGCCGCCCCTACGAGGGTGCAGGTGCATCAGCGATCTTGGTGGTCTGAAGGGTCGTCACCGTCTCTCAGATAGCAAATATTCCTTCACATCATCTGCACGCAAACACCGCGAGCCGCAGGGAGCCCGGCAGCCCTCTCCCCACTCAGCAAGCAGCCGAGGCGCCCGGCCCCGGAGAGCTGGGGGTCCCCGGCCAGGCCGCGACCCCGCCCGGCAGCCCCGCCTGCAAACCCTGAAGCCGCCCCGCGCCGCCCGCCCGCCGCTCACCGATGCCGAAGTTCTTGGGCCTCTTCTCGAACAGCGGGTTCACCACCTTCTTGGCCTCCTGCTTCTTCACGACCGCAGGGGCCGGGGCCACCTTCTTCCCCTTGGCCTTCTTCCCTTTCGGCTGCGCGGAGGCGAGCCGTCAGATGGGCGCGCCCCGCCCGCCGCCCCCCGGCGACCTCGGCGGGGAGGACGTCCTCGCCGCCGCCCGCACACCGACACCGCGGGGCGGCCCCGGAACCCTCGCCCAAGGCTCCTGGGCGGCCCCCACCACGGCGAGGAGCCCCCGGCCCCGTGAGCCCCGCGCCCCGCATTGCGGCGCTGCGCTCCCGCATCCTCCTCCCCCAGCCCGCCGCCGGACTCTGTCCCGGCCTAAAGCCTCTATACCAGGCCTCGCGGGGCTCCCCTCGCGCCAGGCGGTGGAGGGACGCCCGCGCGGCCGCGCCCCGAGAAGGATGGCGGCGGATAAAGCCCGGACCCAGTTCCAGCCTGGCAAAACAGCGACCCACTCACCATCTTGGGCGGCTGGAGGAGAGAGAAAGAAAAGGGAATTGTGGGTAATATGTATGCGACCTCGAAGATCGCGAGAACTGGCGCTTGCGCGGGATTTCGGGCTTAAAGTGACAGACTCCTTTCGCCTACCCTGGGGTTGGGGGCGGCGCCTAGAGCCAGGCGGCTGGTCGGTGTGCGACGAGGCTCCGGGGATCTGGGACTTTCTGGGAGGGGCGCGCGCTCCTCCCCACCGCCCGGACCAGGTACCCGCCGGACCAGGCTCTGTGGACCAGGTGTGGGCTCTGGGGCCGCAGGGTTGGGTGGGCGTCTTTTCTCTCTGCGATTTCCCCAAGGTGGCTCAGAGACTGCTGGTTCGGTCGGCCGGCTGTGCCCTGCGCGGAGCGCGCAGCCCAGAGGCGCGCGACGCGGGGCGGGGTGGTCCCAGCAGAGACCGCGGAGCGAGGCTGCCCTCCGGAGCCGCGGCGTGGACGGAGGGCGGGCGGCCGGGAGCAGGGCGGCGGGGGTAGAGTGGGAAGGAGGCGTCGGATGAGGGGCTGGGGCGAGAGTGGTGGCGCGGAAGCCGCTGGGCGGGGGCAGGTGGCGAGCTCCTGCCGGCCTCTCGCGGACACGCGCGCACCCAGCCTCTGCGGAACCCGGGCCGGAGCCGGCTTTTGAGGGGGTCCTTGGGTCCTGAGCTCCCCCAGGGGGAGGGCGTGGGCAGAGGAGATCCCGCAGCGCGCCTGTGTGCCATATCGGACGTGTTTGTTTGGCAGAAACGGAATACCCGGAGATCTGCACGTTCTACGTGGTGGGGGCATGCAGGGTGGGTGGCTAGGGTCGTCTTCGCTCACTCCAGGCTCTGGGTCCCAGGTGCTGACTGGTGGCCCCAGGCCTCTGTCCCCTGCACGGCCTGAGGCCCTGCCATGGCCCAGCAGAGAGCCCTGCCGCAGAGCAAGGAGACGCTGCTGCAGTCTTACAACAAGCGCCTCAAGGACGACATCAAGTCCATCATGGACAACTTCACCGAGATCATCAAGACCGCCAAGGTGCGTGGGGGCCGCGGCTCTCCTGCCCCTCTGAGACCAAGGGGAGGAGCGGGCTCTAGAGACTGGGCGGTGGTGAGCTGAGCGACTGGCCTGCTCTGCTGAAGAGTGTCACACGGGGGTTGCTTTCGACAGCGCCCGCCCTACGTGGAGTGCGTGCTCTGGGCCAGGACGTGAGGATACAGCAGTGAACATACAGGCAATGCCCTTGTCCCCATGGGAAAACATCTGGGAGGGCGGCAGGGGGATCTGCCATAACAAATAGGTTAATAGATCAATAGATAAACCAATTAACGACAGGTCCTGGTGAGGCCGTGCTTGGGACTCCAGTCAGATTGCTGGGTTTCAGTGTCCAGCTCCACTGCCTAGCAGCCTAGGTTTGCATGGGGACCTGATGTCTCAGTGCCTCAGTTTCCCCTGTGTTAATGGATCTTTATGATGACTAGATGAGTTTATCTGTGTAAACCAGTTCCTTCAGGACCTGACAGGGACCCCGACATCGTAGCTGGTGGGAGTGAGTTCAGTCAGGAGAGAAGCTGGGGAGGCCCCTCAAGGTGGGTAGAGCGGTCAGCAGCTGGGTTGGGTCAGGCCAGCCTGCCAGGCTGCAGCCGCAGCACATGGGGCTGGACCTTGGCATGGCCGCTGCAGCCAGCGGAAAGCTCGTTTGAGCAATAATAATAATGATGAAAGCTCACGTTTGTTTACTTGTTTAGTGTTCATGACACGCCAGGCTGTGCCGTGAGGGCTGTTTGGGTTCTATCCCACTTAATCTCCACTAGAACTCTATGGGGCGGGTACCATTGTCCTCTCGGTTTTTGGAGGAAACGGGCTCAGAAGATTTAGTAACTTGCCCAAGGTCATTCTGATAATAACTGGCAGAGCCAGGATTTGAACCCAGGAAGTCTGGCTCCTAACCCCTTGGGGAGCCCTGACCCAGCCTGTCCTCTGGCAAGGCTCCTGGAGAAGCCCTGTCCAGTGGATGGACGGGGGCAGTCTTGGACAAGGCTGGCCAGGCAGGCTCATGCATTTACCCTTCAAGGCACCTTGAGTGTGCTCTCTGGCCTGTCCTGACCTCAAGTTTGCCCACCTGTAAACCAGGGATGGCAGTCCAGGCTTCTGTGAGAAATTCGTAAGGTGATGATGGTCAAGTAGTTAACGTGGTGCTGGGCACTCCAGAAGTGCTCAGTAAATGGTGGCTTAAAAAATACACTGTCCGAACAGTAGGGGGCGGCCCAGTGGCATAGTGGTTAAGTTCCCTGGTTGGGATCCTGGGTGCGGACTTACACACTGCTCATCAAGCCATCCTGAGGCAGCGTCCCACACAGAAGAACTAGAAGGACTTACAGCTAAGATATTTCAACTATGTACTGGGGCTTTGGGGAGAGAAAAAAAGATAACACTGTCCTTTTACTCATCCATCCAGCAGTTTGCTGAGTGCCCGAGCTAGTGACGCGAGTCCATACTGAACAGGGCTCACACCCCAAAAAGCACTGGACCAGATCTCCCTGCACCTGGCACAGCATCATCGTACGTCGGCATCCATTTTTCCTGAGGAGGTGCCTCTTACCTCCTTAGACCAGAGCAAGATGGGGTGGAGTGGAGCGGTGCCCGAGGTGTGTTAGCAGAGTCCAGGGTGGAAGGCAGGAGAGGCGACAGGACGCAGCGAGGGTGGTCTTCTGCAGCTGGTCACCTGGAGGCCCGGGCGCCCGCTGAGTCCAGGCTTTCTCGTTTGCTCTCCAGATTGAGGACGAGACGCAGGTGTCGAGGGCCACGCAGGGTGAGCAGGACAATTACGAGATGCACGTGCGAGCCGCCAACATCGTGAGTCACCAGGTGGAGGGCATGGCCTGGGCTCCAGGAGCCTTGTGGTCCCTCCTGGGTGCTCCTGGGTGGGGGACAAACCACTTCTCAGGAGACTCCCCTCGAGAGGGAGGGCTGTCTGTGGCAGCCGTGTGAGGGGCCGGCAGGTCGCGGGTCACGTCCATCCTGTAGAGTGCTGTGCAGGGGATAGAAACTTCCTTGCTGATGAGAAAGTTCCGTGAGATTCCTTATGGGTGCAATAGCAAATTGCTGAATGAAACAGGATGGGAATTTTGAGCCCTTCTGATGTCACAGAACAACGACATCAACCAGATACTCCCACAGGGATGTGCCTGTGGATGAAAATGCATAGGAGAGGTCCCAAAGGGATCCTGCCCCCCTGGCTGGTGTGCTGCCCCCAAGGACGAGCAGGGGCAGGCAGTTAGACAGGATTGTAGTTCTGTCTGTAGGGTTTGAGGTTTTGAGAAGCAGAATGTGTCTCACAGGAGCAGGAGCCAGAGGCCAAGTGAGGGTAGGGCCTGGGAAGTCGATGGCACCTGCCACCTCCCCCAGGCCTGCCGTGGAGGCGGTTCATGCGGTCCAGGTGGGTGCCAGGGACCCTGCCCTCCTGTCGCTCCCTCATCGTGCTGCCCCTGTTCCCATCGCCACAGGTCCGAGCTGGCGAATCCCTGATGAAGCTGGTGTCCGACCTCAAGCAGTTTCTCATCCTCAACGACTTCCCGTCGGTGAACGAGGCCATCGACCAGCGCAACCAGCAGCTGCGCGCGCTGCAGGAGGAGTGCGACCGGAAGCTCATCACCCTGCGGGATGAGATCTCCATCGACCTGTACGAGCTGGAGGAGGAGTATTACTCATCCAGGTACAGATAGGGCTGGACTCCTCATGGAGCGGAGCCTGCAGACCTGGGCGCAGCCAGCAGCTGTGGCCCAGCCTGACCTGGCAGCCCAACCCAGCAGCCCTCAAGGTCCTGTCTTTCCAAACCCTTCCTGGTCTTGGCAGCAGAGCCGCGTGCTGGGTTTCAGAGCAGAGCTCATGGTCAGAGCATTTGATCGACAGACAATTACACCATCTACCAGGCCCTGGGCAGCGGGATGAAAACCACAGGACTTCAGAGGTTGGGAGGGCTGAGCCTGGAGAAGGAAGGGCAGGACCAACGTCCCTGTCTTGGGGATGGCTGCCTCTCTCTGGGCCTGTCTGCTCCTCTCAGCTTTTTAGTCAATATTTAAACATTCCAGCTAAGGCTGGGCTAGCTCCTTTTGGCAACCCAGGCCTGGGCCCAAATCCAGGACACCAGTGCTTGCCCAGGGATGCAATTCCATGTGGGCATCACCGAAACCCCACAGTGTGTGTGTCACGGTGCCGAGGCAGTCCTGGGAAGGAGGAGGAAAAAACTCAAGCAGAGGATGACCTTGAAAGCTGGGCCCCAGGTACTTGGAACACCGAGTTCCTATTCAGCTCAGCCTTGTTCACAGAGCTGGCGCCCTCCAACATGCCAGGCCCACCTGGGCCCCAGGGATACAGCAGTGGGCAAGACCTGTCACCCCGGCCCTTGTGGGACTGCTCTGAATCCTGAAACCTGAGGCTGTTTGAGCTGAAGGGGTCCTGAGAAATCAGAGTCCAGGTGTAATTTACACAGGGGAAACTGAGGCTGGAGACAGGAAAGTCTTGCACTTCTGTGCCCATTAGCTTGGAAAATCAAGACTCAGTCCAGAAGACATGTAGTCCAGGCCCCTGGTACCCTCACCCAGACAAACCTGTCCTTCCTGGTGTGGATTTAAAATGCTCCTTTTTGGGGCTGACCCCATGGCCGAGTGGTTAAGTTCATGCGCTCTGCTTCGGCGGCCCAGGGTTTCACCTGTTCAGATCCTGGGCGCAAACATGGCACTGCTCATCAGGCCATGCTGAGGCGGCGTCCCATATAGCACAACCAGAGGCACTCAACTAGAATATACAACTATGTACTGGGGGGCTTTGGGGAGAAAAAGAAGCAAAAGAAAAAAAGATAGGCAATAGATGTTAGCTCAGGTGCCAATCTTTTTTTAAAAAAAAAAAAGAGAGCAAGATAAAGATCTTTAAAAAGAATAATAAAATGCTCCTTTCAGCCCCAGGGAGGCCACTGGGCCTGTGGTCTGGGGCTTGGCTTCCCTGCCCTGGACTCAGTGCCACCCCTCATGGTGCTGCCCCTCATGGCATCTGTGGGAAGAGACAGTGTCACTGCCCAGCTGGAGCAGTTCTAGACTTTTCGAGAGGATTCTGGGG